TTCAGCCAGCAGCAGCCCTGAAAAAGTGACAGTGACGGACCCGCCGGGTTCAAAGGATGACTGGAGTAAAGGAGGATTGTACGGCCATGAGGGAAAGGGCTTCCCCAAACCCGATGAAAGAAGAGCAGCTAGTTTGCCCAGCAGCCCTGAGAGAAGGGCTCTCACACAGCAAACTGAAGACTGCAAGGAGCACAAAGGAATTGCTCAGAAGAGTAAAACCCCTGAGTCTTCACCGACCGGCTTTCAACTGAAGCAATCCAAACTCAGCTCTATTAGGCTGAAGTTTGAACAGAGCATAGGCTCCAAGAGTAAGGAACTGTCACCAGATGATAAAAAGCAGGACACTCAGTCTAAAATCCCGGTGAAGAAATTACAGGACAGCAAGCTCCCGGTCTACCAATTTTACGCACGAGAAAAGCATGCCAAAGAGGTAGACCTTGCTGATGGAAACATAACACTTCAGCGAGAAGCTTCTGCTGTCAAATTAAAAGACGGCATCCTGAGCAAAGGGAAAGCTATAGAAGATGCTGCTGCCGCCGCTGCCGCCGCCGCTGCTGCTACTTCAGATGTACTAAAACACAGAACCGAAACTCTAAGTAAAACTGTTACAGACGGCTTTTCAGAACAGAAGGTGAAAGGTCTGGCATATAGCTTGAGCTCAGACACTACCCTATCGAAGGGGAATTGGGATAAAAAGATCTATAGAACATGGGAAAGCCCCGGAACATCAGCTCCTAAAACGCAAAAAGAAAAACTTTCCCATGTCCTTATTCAAGATGTAGTGAAAGAAAATCACATCGCCCACCCTGAGGCTAAAGACACGGGTAAAGCTGGTGAATTTATCACTGTGACAGAACGTGAGCACAAAGTGTCAACAAACGGATCACATTCGAAGGAGGTGAAGGAAGTGACTGTAAAATCTCCCTCCAAAAGGGTCCTGTATAGAGAATTCCTGGTCAGAGAAGGGGAGTGCCCCAGTGAAGTGATGGATAGAACTTCCAAGAAAAAGGAACCATCCCACATCCCGGTCAGGATTTCAGAAGAAAAAAGAATGTTATCAGTTAACATTCCTGATGGCATTCATGAGCAGCCAAAAAACACAGCCCACGAACCGCCAGCTAAATTGTCCCATGCCGGTACAGCTAAGGGAAAAGCTGACAGACAGTTTGATTATACAGAGCAAGAGAAAAATAGCCAGTCAGAGTTCAGAACACTGAGCAGTAAGCAACGTGGTTGCATTGAGTTAAGTCCTCTTGCGGAGGATACAGAGCTATCTCCTAGTAAATCACCCGATTCTTTAGAAATTAGCCCAGGGATAGAGTCTGCCTCGAGGGACTTTGACTCAAATCATTATGCTAATTTGGGGAAATCTGCCCCCTTAGCTGCTGCAGCCGAGGGTACAAAAGAGATAAAAACTTTACCAGTTTACGTCAGCTTTGTTCAAGTAGGGAGGCAGTATGAAAAGGAGGTGCAGCAGGGAACCGTCAAAAAAATTGTAAGTCAGGAGTCTAAGACCGTGCAAGAGACAAGGGGGTGCTTTTATACTACCCGACAGCAAAAACAACTTCCTTCTCCACAGGGGAGTCCAGAAGATGACACGTTAGAACAGGTGTCCTTTATAGATAGTTCTGGGAAAAGTCCATTAACCCCTGAAACGCCTAGCTCAGAGGAAGTCAGCTATGAGTTTACCTCTAAAACTCCTGACTCGCTATTAGCTTTTATACCAGGCAAACCCAGTCCTATCCCTGAGGTTTCTGAAGAGTCAGAAGAGGAAGCAGAGGCTAAATCAACCTCTGTAAAACAGATTACTGTGGAGGCACCAGTAACAGACAAAGTGTTGTCCAGTAACCTAGATAGAGATTCTAATAAAAGGCCAAAGGGGAACAGGGTCGCCTACATTGAATTCCCACCTCCTCCTCCATTAGATGCTGATCAGACCGAATCAGAAAAACAACGCCACTCTTCTGAGAGTGAGATGGAGATGATAGAAGTAAACCTGCAAGATGAGCGTGACAAATGTCAGCTGGCCGAGCCAGTCATAAGGGTACAGCCGCCTTCCCCTGTGCCCCCAGGAGAAGATGTCAGTGACTCCAGTGATGACGAATCCCTGTATCAGCCCATTCCCATTAAAAAGTACATGTTTAAATTAAATGACATTGTAGAGGACCAGAAGGAAGCCTCGAAGCATAGGTCATCTGAAGAGAAGGAAGCCGGGAAGCCGAATGAATATGACCTTGGCATTGATTCCCCCCAGAATGAGAATGCGCAAAATGGGAACAATGACCAGTCTATCACTGAGTGTTCCATTGCAACCACTGCAGAGTTCTCCCACGATACGGACGCAACTGAAATTGATTCTCTCGATGGCTATGATCTCCAGGACGAAGATGATGGCTTGACTGAGAGTGATTCTAAACTTGCAGGTCCAGCAGTAGAAACCAAAAAAGACATATGGGCTACGGAAGGTATCTTGAAACAGACTGATCGGTGCTTTAGCCAAAGTAAGCTGGAAGTTATTGAGGAAGAAGGGAAAATTGGTACGGAAGAAAGCAAACCTTTGTCAAAATGCCCAACTTCTGAAAAAATTGCAGATAAGACTGAGCAGAAGTCAGGGGCCCAGTTTTTTACTTTGGAAGGCAGACACCCTGACAGGACTGTGTTTCCTGACTCTTATTTCAGTTACAAAGTAGATGAAGAGTTTGCAACACCTTTTAAGACAGTAGCTACTAAAAGTCTAGATTTTGACCCTTGGTCCAATAACCGTGGGGATGATGACGTTTTTGAGTCTAAATCAAGGGATGATGAGTCTAAGCCTTTTGGCCTGGGAGTAGAAGATAGATCTCAAGCAACAACACCTGATACGACTCCAGCCAGAACTCCAACAGACGAAAGTACACCAACTAGTGAGCCCAACCCCTTCCCATTTCATGAAGGGAAGATGTTTGAGATGACTCGCAGTGGCGCAATTGACATGAGCAAGAGGGATTTTGTTGAAGAAAGACTCCAATTTTTTCAGATTGGTGAGCATACTTCTGAAGGGAAGTCAGGGGACAAGGGGGAAGGGGATAAAAATAAAGTCACTGCCATCACACAACCACAGTCAGGGGACAAAACGGTAGAAAAAACTCTAGAGGGAGACGTAGAATCACCAGCAGTTGAACATAAGCTCATCACCCAGGCCGGTGGAGATTGTACGGAAGGAACACCGGGTAGTAGCTCACTGGAGAAATCATCAACAGCTGTTAATGCTTCTAAAATTGATCCCAAATTGCGCACACCTATTAAAATGGGAATTTCTGCTTCTACTATGACGTTGAAGAAAGATGGCCCCGGAGAAGTTGCAGATAAGGTAGAACCTGTGACATCAGGTGTTCAGGGGTTAGCATGTGAAGCCATAGCAGAGGTTACGAGTGCAGCTGTGCTTAGCCAGACAAGTGGTAGGGAAGCAGAAAAGCATGATTTCCAAAAAGATAATTTTAATAACAACAACAATTTGGATCCACCCACTACACCTACTAATAGCGTTACCTGTAAAGTAGTGCTAAACGAACATTTTGAGTCCAAGCATCCCACACAAAAAGCCAATCAAACGAAAAACACTTCAGGAAATGGTAAAGGTCCGACACAAGGACACTGTAAGCAAAAGATACACGGAGAACAGCAGAAACCATCAGAGCCACTAGGGAATAGAGCAAGATCAAAACTTCCCATAAAGGCTACCTCAGCAAAAGAAGCCATCCCACATACCAGTAGCCAGGCTGGCAGAATGACTAAAGTCAGACAGGAGAGTAAACTTGACAAAAGGAAACAGAACAGCTCTCCTGCACATGTAGAAGTCAGGTCTAAGATTCCTGTAAAAAACACACAAAGGCATAGTTTAGCGGTAGCTAGAAAAACACCCACAGCTCAAAACCAAGAGCAGCTAGAGAGAAACAAAGCCAAACCGCTTCCTTCTAAATTACCATTAAAGGTAAGATCTGGCACCACCACGACAACGACAGTTAAAGTGAAGCAAAACCAGCTTAGGGAGGTATGTAAACATTCTATTGAATATTTTAAGGGAATTAGTGGTGAGGCTTTAAAGCTGGTGGATCGCCTGTCCGACGAAGAGAAGGAGATGCAGTCAGAGGTGTCCGAGGACGAAGAAGAAGAAGACAGTACGTCCAGAAACACGTCCTTGTCCGAAGCCACTCAAGTTTTCCTGCCTTCCGTTACACCGAAGCCCGCTAGAGATATGAGAACAGAGGCAGCGTCTTTAAAAACAAAGATTGAAAAGGCCGACAGTGAGAGGAGGAGGAGTAAGAGGACTGGTGAGAATGAAGGGAGTCAGGTTTCTGGAGCTCTCTTGGCTCACCTCGTGGAGATCCAGCCTAGTTTGTAAAACTTTCAACTTGTTGATCCTTAGTGCATGAACCGTTGTGACTGCTTGTGAAGTGACTTCCTGTAGTTCTCATTCCGTCATTGTCATCTGTACGTGCTGTCTTCTACTCTTCTTTCTTCCTTTTAAATGAAGCCTATATTCTTATAGACAGCTAGTGAAGCATGCTTTGAAGACATTCATGTCATTATTCAGGTTCTTATAAGATTTATTTTGTGACAGCGAAAAAGTCTCATTTTGTCAAAATCGGGGGGGGGACAGTTTTATATTTACAAACCCCCTCTAAGGACTGGTGGGTTCTTTTTTTTTTTTTTTGCCCCCGCCTCCACCGGTAATTAAATCACCATTGATCAGTTCACTAGACAGACTGTCGGCATGTTTGATTTCATCTACACAATTAACATCATCTAGTTTGACACTCAGATTTCTCAGAATGAAAAAATGTGAAAGCTGTGACAAAATATACATATATATTTATATGTAGGGATTTTTTGGGCACTCGGTCATTTTAGTAGTTGATCTGAGCACCAGTTAACTTAGCGCAGTGTATTATAATACTGTTAGTCAGTGCTAAGGATTGTTTCACAACACCTTTTTTAATCAAGGAATTGTAAAATCGCAGGTCCGCAGAGTCCATGTGAACGGACAGATATCAGGATGGCAATTGTGGCTGATCACCTGGGACTTAGCTGGACGGGTAAGATTTGATGGTGTGGGGATGACATCGGAAGCAGCAAAGACTTTTGACTCCCAGCTTCCTCTGTGTGTGTGTGTGTGTGTCCCCACAAAGCATTTTGTATCCTAAGACATAAGTGATTCAATAGGCATAAATATATGTATGCTGTCTTGATTAAATGGGTGATAGGACTACTTCTTTTGATGTAAAACGAATTGTAATGTACTTGTTTGTCGCATTTTTATCCTGTTGCTCATTCATCCAAGGAACCGCCATTTTAGCCTCACAACAGCCTTGTGAGGCAGGTTAGAATGAGACAGTATGACTGGCCCGACGTGACCCAGAGAGCTGTAGATGGGCCAGCAGTACAGGACTGACCATACAGTACAGTACAGTCACTCTTGGCTGTACTCAGCTTGAGTTGTTGGTTTTTATTCACAGTTTTATTACTTGGTAGCTGCTTATCTAATGGGCTTGGGCCCAATGTTTACCCTGTGTGAGTGGAAGGTGTTCCTGCTCACCAATGGAGGTTGCCAGTTTCCTTCCTTCATGTGCAAGGGCACATGCCATTCCTAAAGACCATCTGAGCAGTTTTTCAGGGGGTATGAGGGGCAGTGTTGGGAAGGGGATGGGTAGTCCCAGTGTATACACAGATTCAGCCCTTCTAGAGCTAGTAGAACACAGGGAAGCTAGGGTCAAGGTGAAAGCTATATCAGTGCATATAAAGGCTGTTTATAGAGATGGCCAAAGAGGGATCCAGCCCAAAGCTCTGATTGGTAGCACACAGTCTAAATCTTCTTCTACTGTCCCCCCCTGAGACTTTTCCCCCTGGAGGCTTGCAGGGCAGAAGAATAGCAATACTCCTAGCTGATATTGCATTACTGTTATATGTCAAATACTAGGAATAAGGCCCATTGTGGAAATAAATACAGTGGGCGCTAGAAAGCGACTCTGGGAGAGTGCCAAGGCCGTGGGCACTCAGAATCAATTTGCCATGGCAACCTAAGCAGGGTATAAGGACACAGAGTCCACCATTTTCTCCAGGGGAACGGATCAATGCCGTCTGGAGAGCAGTTGTAATTCTGAGTGATCTCCAGCACCCACCTGGAGATTGGCAACAGTGGTTCCCCATTACGGAATGGCTGGTCTGGAGGGCAGAGTCTATGGCATTGTACCTGTCTGAGGCCCCACTCCTCCTCAAACCTCACTCTCTCCAGGCTCCATCTCTCAAATCTCCAGGATTTTCCCATCTGGAGTTGGCAACCCTATCTACTTCCCAGCCAAGCATCAACCTACATTCCCCCCTCATTGATCAGCTTTCCATTTCCCCCCCACCAGCAGCCCCCACCGTGCTCTGAAGCCCTGACTGCCACATATCTGTGGCAGTAATGAGGTGACTGCTGGCACCTTTTCCTATCATTGTGGTATTCTGCTTGTGGTGTGATCTGTCTTTTTTGTGGTGTGGCATGATTGTGTTATTGGGTTTGTTTCTTTTGAAGGGGAAGTGATGTGTTGTGAGTGAGGACATATTTTACCTCAGAATACACCAGGTCCCATATGCAATGGTATTCTCAGTAGTCATGTATGGCTGCGAGAGTTCGACTATAAGGAAGGCCGAGCGCCGAAGAATAGATTCTTTTGAACTATGGTGCTGGGATAAAGACACATCACGGAGCCAACTGATTTTGGAGTGCATAGAACGTTGTGGGACCACTACGCAATTATATATAAGGAGAGATGTTTGTTTGTTGTGGGAAATCTACTGAACAGCCTGTACAACATAATCCTGATGTGATTTATCTTTCTTTCCCCGCCCTGTCCTCCTCTCGTACTTCAGAACTGGCAAGAGAACTGAATTTTTCCGTCGACGAGATTAATCAGATCCGTGTCGAAAATCCAAACTCTTTGATTGCTCAGAGCTTCATGTTGTTGAAGAAATGGGTGGTCAGAGATGGGAAAAATGCTACAAGTAAGTTCAGCGGCCTTGAATGTTGTTTAGGATGATACACGGTTCTTTGCCTCGCTGAGGTCTTGTGGGCCGTGGCACACAGGCACGGTTGTCACCTGGCAGTTGCAGGATCACACATGAACACACAAAGTAGCCGTATACAGAGTCAAACCATTGGTCTATCAAGGTCAGCATTGTCCAGGGTGGAAGCATTTCACATCACCTGCTACCTGATCCTTTTCCCGTAGCTGCTGGGCCTTCTGCATGCAAAACAGATGCTCTGCCACTGAGTATCACCAGAGACCTATCACAGCATTGTCCTGTGACACTGACTTCACACACGTGCCGGTACAAATCAGACATCACAGGAAAGGTTTTCGTGCTGCCCATTGTCCTCTCATAGATAGCGATTTTCCAATGGAGCTATGGTTCACTCGCTCGTGTATCACTGAGTCTTTTGGTGATCAAATGATGTGCATGGATGTGTGACCTGCTTCTAAGGTGGCACGAGTTAGTTGAAGGAGTGTGATCTGTATGCAGCCTTCAAGGTCTTCCTGGTCCACCCCCTTCCTTCTGTTACTTTACCCCCCCTCTCCTGCCCCATGTATACAATTCCAGTCCCTGCTGGCCTGAGGAAAAGGAGCAGGGGGCTTATCTCTTTCTATCCCTCTGTAGGATATTGTCCCACCCTGGAACATGCACCGAGCTATTAGGGAGCTCTTTATGTGTCTTGCATGTTCAAAATTGTTGGATAGAAGGGAAGCTGCTAGGGTGGGTATCAGAAACCCTGGAAGCTTGTGATGAACACCTGGAGACCTTGTGATGAACATCTGTGAGGAAAGGCTGTGGGACTTGGGAATGTTCAGTCTGGAGAAGAGGAGGCTGAGGAGGGAGGCATAATTGCTCTCTTGGAGTATCTGAAGGGCTGCCACTTAGAGGAGGGCAGGGAGCCGTTCCTGTTGGCAGCAGAGGAGAGGACTCCCAATCATGTGTTTAAATTAAGGGCGGGAAGGTACCGGCTGGATCTTAGGGAAAACCTTTTGACAGGAAGAGTTGCACAGCAGTGGAATCAGCTGCCTGGGGTGGTGGGGAGCTCCCCTTCATTGGCAGTCTTCAAGCAGCAGCTGGACAAACATTTGTCAGGGATGCTCTAGGCTGATCCTGTATTGAGCAGGGGGTGGGACCAGATGGCCTGTACGGCCCCTTCCAACCTCTGTGATTCTACGATTCTAACTCATGGAGCTACCTTATACTGAACCACACTGTTGGTTCATCAAGATCGGTATCGTCTTCTCAGACTGGCAGCAGATCTGGAGGGTCTCAAGCAGTGGGCTTTTAATCACATACTGCCTAATCCTTTTAACTGGAGATGGTGGGAATTGGACCTGAGACCTTCTGCATGCCAAGCAGGTGCTCTACTGCTGAGCCACAGCCCTCCCTGTGGGTAGATGCATATTTCTATATGGCTGATGGCCACAGAGCACTATACAGAATCCTGTTGCAGATACAGTACAGCGGATGTACATGTACATCTCTATGGCTGGGGGGGGGGGGTTATTAGTAAAATGGAGGGATGTTGGTAGATTCCTAACTAGAAGAAGAGATTGGATTTCTACCCCGCCCTTCACTCAAAGTCTCAGAGCAGTTTACAAAGTCCTTTCCCTTCCCCTCCCCACAACAGACACCCTGTGAGGTAGGTGGGGCTGAGAGAGCTCTTTCAAAAACTATGGCTTGCCCAAGGTCATCCAGCAGCTGCAAGAGGAGGAGTGGGGAATCAAACCCGGTTCTCCCAGATTAGAGTCCGCGCACTCAACCACTACACCAAACAAGAAGAAATCCTTATACTTTCTCCTGGTGCAACCTTTCAGTCTGCCACCCACCACAATGATGAAACAGGATTTCCATATTCGGGCGAAGTAACCTTTCCCTGCTTGGCTTGGGAGGCCACTGCAGGGATAGGCTTGGGTCTCGGTGCCCTGCTTGCAGGCCTTCCGGGGGCATCTGTTTGTGTGCTTTATGAAACACGATGCCGGACTAGATGCTGATCCAGTATGGCTGCTCTTACATTGTGTGTGTGTTCTCGCAGCCATTTTAGATTGAGTGGTTTTGCGGCTTGCAGACACATCAACAGGACTAAACAGTTTTTTTACGGCACCTTGCGTGTACCTGCAAACTCACATGGACTGCAAACTCACCGTTTCTGGAGCGCTGTGGTACACCTGTATGTGCTGTGGTGAATGCAAAGGGTGAAATACATTTCCAGATGCTTGGGAGCATTTGTTGGACATGCATCAGGGAGCAGGAGACTCCCTGTGGCTCTCCAGTGTGTGTCCATTGAGCATCTGCGGATGTCTCCCCTTCACCTTTGACATGCTTACTGTCTGTCAACACTGTGCAAACACCAAAGCAGTAACAGAATGACTATTTTGTTGTTGTTCTTTCCCCCTCAGCTGATGCCTTAACCTCTGTATTGACAAAAATCAATCGGATCGACATCGTAACTCTGTTGGAAGGACCAATATTTGATTATGGAAACATTTCAGGCACCAGAAGCTTTGCGGATGAAAACAATGTTTTCCATGATCCTGTTGATGGTAACTGTGTTTCTTGTGATAGTCCTTTTGATTTGTCTTATTTTCCTTTCGATTACGTGGAAGGGTCTTTCGATTTAATAAATTGCGTGGCCGAGACCTGTGTGAGGGAGGGCAAAACAGTCACCCTGAACGAACTGGTCCCCCCAGGTTTCTCAGTTCTCCATCAGTCTCAAACCAAGGGGCAGGGGCTGGGGTGGCGATACTCATTCAGGAGGATCTCTCCTTCAGAGAGCACTCCCCATCCCAAAGATTGCCAGTATTGATTGCGATGGCCTGGTCTGGGACGCTGAGGAGAGTATGGCTGTTTTTCTGGTGTACTGAAGGCCTAGCGTACCAGCAGACAGCCAGTGAGCCTGCTGGAGGTGGTAGCCAGCTGGGTCTTGGAGTTCCCAAGACTGATTGTCCTGGGAGACTTCAACGTCCATGCCAATGCTGCCTCCTCCTTGCAGGTGTCAGACCTGGCCTCTTCCATGGCAGCACTAGGTCTCTCCCAGTTTGTATCAGGTCCCACACACCGAGCACCTGATCTTTGGCTTGGGGGTGGAGACGGATCCGATTGTTGAGGATGGAAGTGCCACGGTCGGATCACTCTGTTCTGAAGTCCCGGCTGGGTGTTCCAGCCCTGCCCCATCTAGGCAACGAGCTGATGTATGCTCGCCCATGAAGTCTGATAAACCCACGCTGGAACAGAAATTCCCCTCTACGTTGCATGCCACTTTCACTTTGATTGATTGTCGGATTTTATGGCAGACTGCATGCCGCTTTCACTCTGCATAGATTTATGGCCATTTTATGGCCATTCAGGGGTGACTCTGCAGTCAGTACGGCGTCGGCCTGGGGTATTTGAATGTGGTTTTGAGCCACATCTTTTTCTGTTCCAGTGTGGGTTTGGTAAAACAGCGGAGCAAATGCTAGATGCAGATTGGGCCATTATCAACCTGTCCCTGGATTCGGGGGTCTACTCAGAGAGGTTAAAAGAGACTGCGGTGGTACCACTCTTGAAGAAGCCATCTTTGGATCCTTTAGATCCTTCCAATTACTGCCCAGTCTTGAATCTATTGTTACTGGGCAAGGTAATTGAGAGAGCAGAAGCTGAGCAGCTCCAGAGCTTCCTAGTTGACGCATCTGCATTGGACCTATTCCAGTCCAGTTTCCACCCTGGCCATGGGATGGAGACAGCACTGGTCACCTTCATGGATGACCTCCCCACACAGCTGGACCGAGGCAAGTCAGCACTGCTGTTACTGTTCGATCTTACAGCAGTGTTGGGCATGGTCGATCACAACTGTCTGACCCACCCCCTCGCCGACATAGGAGTCCATGGGGTAGTCTTGAAGTGGCTCACCTCATTTCTCCAAGGTTGGGAACAGAGAGTTGCACTAGGAGAGAGGATGTCAACTAGATACCCGTTAATATGTGGGGTCCCTCAGGGGGCGGTCCTCTTTTCGATGTTGTTTAACATCTACGTGCACCCCCCCTCACCCAGCTGGAGCGGAGTTTCGGGCTGGGGGGGTCACCAGTACACTGATGACACCCAGCTATGTCTGTTGATGGGTGCTCACCCGGATGCTGCCCCACAAAATCTGGCTGATGGGTTGGAAGCCATGGTGGGATGGCTGAAGAAGAACCAGCCAAGACTGAATCCAACCAAGACAGAGGTTCTGTGGCTGGGGGGGGGGGATTATGAGCTGAGGTACCAACTCCCTATAGTTGATGGTGCGCCCTTAATACCGGCACAAACCATCAGGAGTTTGGTTGTGGTTCTGGATGCCTCCTTATCAATGGAGGCCCAGATCACAAATATTGCCAAGCTGGCTTTTTTCCAGCTACACCAGGTGAGGCAACTGGCCCCCTTCCTGTCTCACCCCGACCTAGCCAATGTAATCCATGCAACGGTCACCTCCAGATTGGACTACTGTAACTCACTCTATGCTGGCCTGCCTCCCTTTGAGACTGATCCAGAAACTCCAACCGTTCCAGAACGCAGCGGTGTGAATCCTGACTGGAACGTCATGGACTGCACATATTCAACCTGTGCTGCATCAGGTGCACTGGCTTCCAGTGGAGTACCGAGTCAGGTTCAAGGTTCTGGTATTGACCTTTAAGGCCTTGAGCGGTCAGGGACCCACATATCTATGGGGCCATCTCCTCTGGTGTGTCCCCCGAAGAGCGTTACGCTCTGCAGAGGACAACCTACTGGTGGTCCCCATCCCAAAAGATGTCCAGCTGTCCTCAACCGGAGCCAGGGTCTTTTCTTCCCTGGCTCCTACCTGGTGGAACTCTCTGCCAAAGGACACCTGTGGGACTTGGTGCAGTTCTGCAGGGCCTGCAAGGCAGAGATATTCCGTCAGGCTTTTGGTTGAGGATGGCGACGGGTACCATCTTTCTGGCACTCCCTTCCCCTCCCCTTTCCTGCTTCTTCTCCACCATCCCTGCAAAGCAGTAACACAATTGGACTATTGTGCCATCTGTGACTTTTTAGGTATCATTTAAACTGTTTTATTATTATTTATGAATGTTCTTATTCCTTGATGTGTACCACCCTGAGCCCTATGTACTCGGCGGAGGGCGGTTTATAAGTTTAAATAATAAATAAATAAAGTGAGACATAAGAGATGAAACTTCTTTTCCCACTACAAAGATCTGTTTTCCTTCCAAGATACAATTTAGGGTGTTTTGTAATGAGCTCTTAAAGTGGTTTGGGCTCCATTGGCTTCTTCCGAAGTGTTGTTGTTCAGTCGCACAGTCGAGTCCGACTCTTCGCATGAGAGATTAAACTTCTTTTACCACTACAAAGATCTATTTTTCCCCCCAAGATAAAATTTAGGGTGTTTTGTAATGAGCTCTTAAAGTGGTTTGGGCTCCATTGGCTTCTTCTGAAGTACATCAGCATAAAGTTACGAACAGACAAGTCCCTCCAGTGCAATTGCAACGGTTGGTTGCTTTGTGTGCAAAAATTAGCCATTTGTGATTATGAAACTCAAATAGGCCTGTCAATGCACAGATTTACACTGGGTTTTCAACCCCTGTTATGTTTCGGTTTTGTGTTTCACTGGTAAAGCTTTTCTTCTGCAAATAGACATCTAAGTGAAGCAGCACCAGTTATTTTTTTATATATATTTATTTATATTCTAATTTATATCCCGCCCTACACCACCAGAGGTTATACGAATTGATGTGAACTGACTTTCTAAATCCTTTGGCGTCTTCTTTTAAGATATGTTATTCTAATCACTGTGCAAGGGATTTTTTTCCCTCTCTCTCTTTGCTTTTGTTTTCACATAAATGTTTTTGCTGGCTTTTGCGAGGGTCTTCTAGCTGTGCCGAACATAATGAGCTTAATTCATTTACAAACAGCACAACGGGTCATTTCATTGCAGAAAGCTCTGTGGACATTTTAAGACATCTCCTCTTGAAATGTTACCTGTGCCTTTTGATCACAAGCAAAGGGTCCTTTCCGAAGACGATGTGCTTCTCTGTGCTCCTTTCTGTCCTTCTTCTCCTCTGAATCTCCTGTGAGCGGCTTGTCCTCGCCAAGACCAGACTGAATTTTAACTTCCTCTCAGTTGATTCAGAAAAGCCGCACATCCCTCGCTAGGCAAGACAGCCTCCCAGTGAGGTCCTCCACCCCGCTCATTCGAACCGTTGAGACTAATGTCTCCACGTGGGAGTATGATTTACAGTCCACTGTCATTCCATTTCTCTGTGCTGAGTTTGACCACTCGAGCAAGAATGGCCAACTTCTGTATGTCTCATAGTCTTCTAGCACTAGCGCAGGTTGTCTGAAGTGTTTCAGCATACAGTATGGCTCCATCACAAAGGGTCGGGTTCTAGAACAAAGGCGGCATCACTTAGAATAAGAGCTTTGCAGGTATGGATTATACATGCTTGGGTGGTTTGTGGGTCGTTGATTGGAGTGCTACAGAAAGGGCGGTACTCCTCAGGAGCTATCCTATGGTGTTTCAGAATGTGCAATTTTAAAAGTATGTAAAATACTGGGAGCCAAAAAAATTTGACTATATCTTAGGTCCAATTTGATGAAGGGGGCCATGTACGATGTTTTAAAACCTGATCTGGACAATGGGCCTGCAGTTGGCCATCCCTGCTGAAGAGAGTGATTGTCCTCATGTTTTCCATTGCTTACCTTTTCTTTTCTCTCTTTTTTTGATCAGTTTTTCTGATTGTACCCATGTCACCAAGATCGCCTCAGTCTCCACGATCACCGAGATCTCCTTACTCGTCACACTCCTCCCGTCTATATAGCTTTACCGTTCCCGAAATTTATATTTAGATCCCCCCCCCTCGAACTGTAGTTTGTAGCTGATGCCCTTTTAGAATTTGCTCCGTTGTGTTATGCCACACTTTTCTGTCCTCATTGAGGTGGGCTTTCCGTTTTTGCAGCTGCTGTACTTCCATGGTGTAGTGATTAAACTGAAGTATCTCTGTACATGGCATCAGTAATGGTATTTGGCAAGTGTAATAGGCAAAAACAAAAATTAGGCCATTTAAAGAGGCCTATAAGAAAACTTGGCAATTTTGCAATGTAATGCACTTCTATGCATAACATTTATACAATGTGCATCAATCAAAATAAAAGTAGAAATGTAATCTGGCCATCACTGATATACGAGGACAGCTAGCGCTAACCCAGATTCAGTGCATTTGCTGGTTGGAGGAGAAAATTCTGTAGCTATGGAGTCATGAAAATAGCTGGAAACCCAATTACTAAAAACTTTCAGTAATGCACGTGATAGACTAAAAAGCAGTAAGCTATACAGTGATAGCAATCTTATGGATTTAAGTTTTGCTGTGTTCTCTTAGGAAGTTACATCCATTATTACATTCATGATTAAATGGCAATCATCTCATGCATTTCTCTTACTTTTTACAGTTAATCAGCCATTTTGCATGCTTGCTTACATGTCGCTCCATGTTGCATTGCAATCAGTCCAAATGTACTGTCTTCCTTAGGTTATCCCACCATTCAAGTGGAACTGGAAACTCCCACTGGGCTGCGCTTCGTGCCGCCCACCCCTTCCCATCAAGATGATTTCTTTAGCGATTTCTCTAGCATAGAGTCACCCTTTAGAACTCCCAGTAGACTGAGTGACGTGGTAGTAACTTCGCAGGGAAATATAGATGATACAGCAGCAGTACCTCCAGTGGTGACAGAAGAAGACACATCACTGGAAGAATGCAAGCGTGATTTCTCAGTGCCTAGAGAAGGAACATCTAAAGATGTAGGCCAGATCCAGATGGAAGAAATGGACCTTAATACCTGCCCTCGGTACCTTGGTAGTTATGCTGGAATATTAGAGCAAACTCTAAGCAAAGAGTCTAGTCCAACCTTAATAAGAACTGAACAGCATGAGAGAGAAAAGTCTGGTACTGATGAGGAGATGACGGAAGAAAAGCTTAAATCTCTGTTTGAAGACATTCACCTTGAAGAGTTAGTTGAGTCTGAGGAGATGACGGAAGAAAAAGTGTGTTTTATTCTTAAGTATGTTCAGCAGGCAGAACAGGAAATGTCTTCAATTACAGGTTGGCAGAGCGAAGGCTCCGGTGTCAACGTAGAACAACCAACGCCGGCACGCAAAATAAGCGGTGAATTGCTAGATCGGCTGGATAACAGGTAGGAAAGGCCTTAGGCAGATACATTCTTATTGTAATAAATTTAGCCAAACAGTTTGGGTTTCTAAATAACAGTGATGTTTTCAGGCTGGTGGTTTCTGTTTGGATGAAGTATATAAATATAATGAATATTTATGAATATTTACATGAATCTTTAGGAATCTAATTTTTTTAATTATTTGTTCATTCATTTTATTATATATATATATATATAAAAAAATATATGAAGGAAAGTCATATTATTATGGAAGGAATTGAAACAAAAATGGCTGCACAATAGTCATAAATCTGGGGTGCAGCACATATGGAATTCTGTGTACTGTATCTAGTTTATAGTCAAGTCATCTGAGAAAAGAGTGTCAGAGATAGCAGAGGTGCAGAAAAGTGCAACTAAAATGATGAAGGGGTTAGAACCCTTTCTGTAGAATAAAAGGCTAGAATGTTTGGGGGTTTTTAGTTAAAAAAAAGAGGACACGGGAGTGGGGAATCATGGAACAGGCAGTATGCTATGAAGAAAGCAGATAGGAAATATTTTTTTTAATCTCCAGTGGTAATAGAATGCAACAAAATAGATGAGTGGTAGATTCAAGACAGATGAAAGGAAGAATTTTTCATTCATTGCATGATTTAATTTGATGGAATTCACAAGACATTGGGATGTCCACTTACTTGGGTGATCTTAAGAGATCAGCTTCGTGGAGGATTGGACCTCTAATGGCCATGGAGGCTGAATTAAGGTTCTTAGACAGTATATCTTGAAATACCAGTTCTTGTGGGGAGGGGAGGTCTTGTTGTCTTCACGTTTGCTTCCTGGAAGCCTTTGACTTGCCATAGTTGGAAACAGGAAACTGGGCTAGGCCTGATCCTTTGGTCTGTTACAGCAGGGCTTTTCTTTGGTTTTGAAACTGTGGATATCTCTATCCGTATTGCAGTGCTTATCTGTACCCAATGGACCTGGCCAGATGGATCTTTTGAGGCGGCTTCCAATGCGCACCCTCATCCAGAGCCACCAGTTAGGGATGTGCATTTGGTTCAGACGAACCAAAAAACAAACCGAATAATGCCTATTCGGCATAATTTGGGCCTGCCGAATCAGATTCCCTAATCTGATTCGGCTGGCTGAACAGGGATTCCCCAAATGTATGCTGTATATTTGGCATCCATTCAGAGAAATCCCTTTGCTGGGCAAGGAAGGGGAAGTGTTTTAATCTTCTGGAGCTCGTGCCGCCTCAGTGGAGTGACTCCCCAGCCAAGGAAAGATATAACTTCCCTTGCCAGGGAGTCATACCACGAAGGCAGCATGAGCCCCAGAAGCAAGGGAAAGTGTTTTAAATTTAAACACTTTCCCTTCCCCCCTGCTTCGGCCAGTGGGCTGTAGAAAGCATGGGGAGGCATTTAAAATGCCTCCCTGCTCTTTCCAGGCCTTCCCTGGCTTGCCTATCTCAAGGGGCAGGCCAGGGAAGGTAGGGGGGGCTGACTCCAGGCCTTTCCTGGCTCGCCTGCCCACAAATTGCCTTCCCTTCAGTGACGGGAGCATGCCGCCTCTGCAGTGCAACTCCGGGGGGTGATTTAAACTTTAAACTTCTCTGGAGTTGCGCCACAAAGGCAATTTGCCTTCCCTTCAGTGACAGGAACCCCCCCCCTTCAAGGGGGGGATTATTATACCCTATGGGGACAGTCCCCGTAGGGTATAATTGAGCTGAATAAATTAGCTAGTCCGATAATTCCTGAACCCCAGTATCATATCGATATTGGAATTCGGGAATATCATCAAATACCAAAAGTTTTCGGGTTCAGTAGATCCAAACCCGAAAAATTTGAAAAAATAGACAGCACCAATTTGCATGCTGTCGAGTTGCCCGTAACTAAAGCTGCTACCAGGATTTTTGTTTTGACATTGTTTTCTTTTTAATCCAAATTCTCCACTGTGCTGACGAATGCAAGGAACTCATTCATTTTGTCTTTTCCAGGCCCGACCAATGCAGAGATTCTATTACCTCATATTTCAAAGGAGAAGCTGGAAAATTGGAAGCCAATGGCAACTACTCTGACCCAACAATGGAGGCAAAGACTAAGCCTTTTGCTCAGGAGTCTGCAAATGGTCTAGGAAAGCAGAGCGACAAGGAAACTGTGAAACCAAAAATGCAAAGTTCTGTCCGTACTGAAGAGCAAACGATATCCTTAGCATCGCATCAGAAATCTTTGCAAGAGGCTAGCAAGCTAGCAGTTGATGCATCTAAAACCTCTGTGCCTGTCAGCATGAAAAAGATGAGCTGGAACACTTCCGAGGAAAGCAAGCCAAGACCAAAAGCCCATGAAGTGGAAGGAGCGGCAGCGTTCGAACAGAAGGTATCAGTACGCTGTCTTTGACATGAGTGTTCAGTCCCTCTTCATTCAGCTCTACAGCCTTGTCGACATATCACAAAGTTTACAGTGCAATACCGTGCAGAATTACTCCAGCCTAAGCTCATTGAAACCAATGGGCTTGGACTGGAATAACTCTGCATTGGATTGCACTGATGGCCTCTTGCTGAATCCTCATTCCTTTTATTACACCTTCCAAAGAACTGCACAGATAGAATCCAGTTTGGAATGCTGAAAACTTGAGATTCGGAGAGGAGGGAAAACAGAGCCCAGTTCCAGCATTATGCTGAGAGTTGTCAGCGTCTTGCAATGCTGTAATCAAACCAGAGTCAGCACAAAATAGGCGCTTTCCCATGGGCTACCGAAGCCAGGATGGGAGAGATGTGAGGAATTCACATGAGTTTTCAGTTAGTCGAGGTCTTGTTGTCTTCACGTTTGCTTCCTGGAAGCCTTTGACTTGCCATAGTTGGAAACAGGAAACTGGGCTAGGCCTGATCCTTTGGTCTGTTACAGCAGGGCTTTTCTTTGGTTTTGAAACTGTGGATATCTCTATCCGTATTGCAGTGCTTATCTGTACCCAATGGACCTGGCCAGATGGATCTTTTGAGGCGGCTTCCAATGCGCACCCTCATCCAGAGCCACCAGTTAGGGATGTGCATTTGGTTCAGACGAACCAAAAAACAAACCGAATAATGCCTATTCGGCATAATTTGGGCCTGCCGAATCAGATTCCCTAATCTGATTCGGCTGGCTGAACAGGGATTCCCCAAATGTATGCTGTATATTTGGCATCCATTCAGAGAAATCCCTTTGCTGGGCAAGGAAGGGGAAGTGTTTTAATCTTCTGGAGCTCGCGGGCACACGGGCAGAAAAATGCGAGGGGGGAGCGTGGCTGTTTGCCCCGGGGCTAAAAACCATGCAGTTGCGCGAGTAGACCTACCATGGAGGTCCCGTGCAGGTCCCGTGGTAGGGGGGAGGTGCCGATCACTCCATAGTCCTGCGGCGTGGCAAAGAAGCGGGGTGCAGGGCAAACGGGGTTGGTTTGTTTTTTTTAACTCAAATGTGCGCATGCTCCCTTGGGTGCTTGTGCGCATCCGTGGAGACTCTGAAAAAAAAAACTTTTTGCGAGGGGACATGGGCGGGCGGTGGAACTACCACCGGAAACGCGATCATACGCCCGCCCTTGCCCCGCGGTTTCAGGAAACTAGTACCTCCGAGGTACTAGTTTTTTACTGCGCATCTTCTGCGGGAAGCCTCGGGTTTGCCACGGGAGCTCGACGCTTCCCAGATGTGGCGGTGAGATCGCGCCCGGAAAATCCGCCTATCTTCCGTCCCTCTAGCGTGCCTAATGCTCCGTGTGACCGCAGCCATAGTGCGGTATTAGATAAGGATCTGGGCATAAGAGTTGATACTTCTGTTATGGACACCGGTGGAAATGCTTCTACATTGCAACAGCCCACAACATTTATTTATTTATTTACTTTTTAATGTTATTTATAATCCACCTTTCTCACTGGGACTCGAGGTGGATTACCCAGAGTGACCCAATACCATCAAAAAGATGGGACATTCAATGAGCAATGAAATAGGATTCGGGTTGTAGAACCAACCAGAAGTCTAAAAAACAGAACTGAAGTAAGGCATACGTGTTAACAAAACACATTAAATGATGCAAAACTACACAACAATATCCAACTCACGGCAAACTATATACAGTAGTACTCACCACAGTCCCCGATAATTTACCCAAGTAACTTTGTGAAGCCCTTTGCACAGTGCTACCCTACTGTCTGCATAGGAAAGCCCTGTAACGCATCTGAAATGGAGAGACTCTCTGTATAAAATAGGAGAATCTACACAAGTGGCTCTCGCATGCTGTGGCTACTCCATAATACAGTGGCTGCATAAAAGACACTGGACCTTAAGTAAAAAATGAACATATTTTTTTCTCAATCTCAGAAAACCTTTTTGCTGTAATGAAATATGTATCCAGGAGGGCTGTTTAATTATAATCACTTCATCTAGTCATATATAGGAAAGGCACACGGCAAGATGCAAGAACTGGGTGATTTTTCTCCGTTTACTGGTTCATAGCAGAGCTGCATCATTAAGTCAGTTTTTCAGTGTGACGAACTGGTTAGAACCATAGTGGCAGATTAAAAATTTCTCCTCAGCTGCCCAGCAGGGTGAACAAAAATCACAAAGATCCAGGGGCTTTTAAATGTCCATTGCTACTAAGGGCAGGCAAATGCACTGGTCCTTCTTAAGTCATATATACTGGGGGGGGGGGGGGGGGGTTTTATAGTTTCTAGGTTACTTTGTCTTCCAGCTACCGTGTTATTATATTGCGGGTGGAGAAACAAGTATGACTTCTCATTTAATAGTATGAAGTACAGGTATCTGGTTGCTGACAGCTGCAGCCAATGTCAACGGACTTGTAAAACATAGAATATTCAGAATGTTGATAGACCTACAACTTGCTTCTTTTTGACGGAGTTCTTCTTTCAGTGTATTCTCGAGTATGACTTTTTAAAAGCTTTCCCCCAAAATTGTAGTGATTGTATAATACTGAATAGATTATTAGGATCTATCCCTCCCATGTGTATGTTTGCGTGTGTATATGTATGTATGTTTTTTAACACGAAAGGGGACATGAAGACATGAACAGAGTCAAAGGCTGTTGTAGAGGGTCTTTACCAATTGGTACCCCAAACAAACCCTATATATGTTTATGTTCAGTTTTGGGCACCACGATTTAAGAAGGATATTGACAAGCTGGAACATGTCCAGAAAAGGGCAACAAAGATGGTGAGGGGTCTGGAGACCTATGAGGAAAGATTGAAGGAGCTGGGTATGTTAAGCCTGGAGAGGAGACGACTTAGAGGTTATACGATAACCATCTTCAAGTACCTGAAGGGCTGTCGTATAGAGGATGGCGCGGAGTTGTTTTCTGTTGCCCCAGAAGGTCAGACCAGAACTAACGGGTAGAAATTAAATCAGAAGAGTTTTTGGCAGACAGAGCGGATCCTCAGTGGAACAGGCTTCCTCGGGAGGTGGTGGGCTCTCCTTCTTCGAAGGTTTTCAAGCAGAGGCTAGATGGCCATCTGACAGCAATGCTGATTGTGTGAATTTAGGCAGATCATGAGAAGGAGGGCAGGAAGGGTTGCATCAGTGCTTCATTCTTGTGGCCCTTTCTTACACACTGATTGCCACTTTGGGGTCAGGAAGCACATTTTCTCCATGTCAGTCTGGCCGGGGATCCTGGAGGTTTTTTGTCAACTTCTGGGCATGGAACAGGGGGTCACTGGGGATGTGGAGGGGGAGGTATTTGTGCGTTTCCTGGATTGTGCAGGGGGTTGGACTAAAGGACCCTGGAGGTCCCTTCCAACTCTATGATTCTATGTGCCCCCAAATTGTATGGGGTCAGTACAGTCCCTTTATCTCCAACCCCCTAAAGAGCCCCTCCAGGCCAACAGTTGTGTGCTGACAATACTATCGAAGAAAATCCCTGACAAGCAGGAGCAGCATACAGGTGCAGCCCTGAATGGACTAGTGCTGAAAGTTTAGGTTGCTGGAGGCGGGAAGCCTGTGCATTGGATTTGGGACTGAGGGAGTGAGCTTGCTGACTGTTGTCCTGCTTAGTCTTGCATCCGTCGTGGAGCTGGCGCCCCTTAGACTTAAAGAATGAACTAAAAGCCATTCTGAGCTCTAGGTCAAATGGAAGGAGAAGTAAGCTTAGTATCTCCTTCCGCTCCCCGGACCTAGTGCAGTAGCAGGTGAAAGTATTCTTAGACGGCGGAGTGTGGCCTCTGGAAAGCCATCTGGCACAGTGCTGTTGGCCTAGAGTGCCGCGTTGCTCTCTGGGTTCCAAGGACCTGCCATTGGGGGGGGGGGCCCTCTGAGATGCAGCACCATCCCCCCCCCCCTGGGGTCCCCGCGCAAGCCAGGAGAGTTTGCAGGGAGCTCTTATCTCGCCCTCTTCTTACTTCTATCTTTCTACCACCTGGCTGAACGGAGTTTGAGTCCAGTGGCACCTTTAAGACCAAGAAAGTTTAATTCTGGGTATAAGCTTTCGGGTGCATGCACACTCCATCAGGTATCTGAAGGAGGGGTGCATGCACACAAAAACGTATACCCAGAATTAAACTTTGGTAGTCTTAAAGGTGTCCCTGGATTCAAACCTTGTTCTGTTGCTTCAGGCCGAAACGGCTACACACTTGGTTCCGGCTGGCTCCCAAGTTGGCCACGCCCAGCAGGAACTCATTAGCATAATAGGCCACACCCAACAGCAGAAACTCATTAGGATTGACTACATTGGGGGGGGGGCCTAACATGCAAAGGGTTCCTGCTACAAAAAAGCCCTGGGTTTTGGCAACAAACAAGGTAAACAGAATAACAAGCAAAAGGTGGGTGTGGCTGGATGACCACACTTCTGGTAATGTGGGGGTGTGGTCTAATATGCTAATGAGTTGCTCTGCCAGGGTGTGGCCTAATATGTTAATGAGTTTCTTCTGTTGGGCATGGCCTATTATGCTAATGAGTTCCTGCTGGGCTTTTTCTACCAAAAAAGCCCTGCTTGGTTCTGTTCCTGTTGTTTCCCCTCAGAATCCTGCAGCCCAGTGCAGTGAACAACAGTTTGCATCCATCTGCGCTTTGTAAATCAGGAGCCAGTCTCAAAAATGTATCCTCCCATGTTGTCCCTCCTTCTCTCTCTGGCGTGGATCGTGATTAACGCCAGCCTGGGTTTCCATCTCAACCACAAACTGAAGCCATCGTTTAAAGTGGGAGTTGAAAGACTGGACATTCTCCTCTGGATGCTCCCCGGAGGGATTTTGGAAGAGGCTGGAGGAGGCAGAGGCCTATAAGAGCCTGGATGCCTATTATTCTATCCAGTTACGATTCCTGTTGGGGTTGCTATTTCACGGGCAATTTCATCAGTCATCGTGCGTGCATGTGGGCTTCATATATCAAATGACCAAGACCGGTTTTAATTGAGACGTACCTTGCTGGTAAGAAAGGTAAAAGCTGCTGAGGCTGCAGTCTCCAGTCCTGCAGAGCTGAAAAGCGCGGTGATCTTACCCTTCCTTGCAGGGCTTATCCTTTTGACCTTAAAGATGGTGATTGGAAAAACAGAGATCCCTCTTCTGGATCTGGACTCTGCTGGACTAGGTCGCGGGCGCATTAATATAATGCTTAACTAATTAATGTGGGTGAGGGGAGGCACTGTGGAGGGTGAAATAATTGTTTGTAAAGCAGTAGTTATGGCAGAGATTGTTCCAGCTAGCAAAGGGAATTTTCCGTCAGGTATGGCCGGTAACAAGAAGATAAATGTCTCTTGAAGGTCAACAGCATTGAGTAGACAATGTTCCCTAAAGCGTATACTGATGGCCATGTTGATAAAAAGAATAATGCAGTCATGTTGCTTGCACAGCCTAGTTTACATCAGGACAGTTCTGCATTTGCAGGGATTGGTTTGTTTTGTTTTGGGAGAGCCAGTTTGGTGTAATGGTTAAGAGTGTGGACTGTAATCTGGGAGAACCGGGTTTGATTCCCCGCTCCTCCACATGCAGCTGCTGGCGTGACCTTGGGACAGTCATAAGTTGTTTCAGAGTGGTTCTCTCAAGGGCAGTTCTCTAAAGAGCTCTCTCAGCCCCACCTACCTCACAGGGTGTCTTTTGTGAGGAGGAGAAGGGAAAGGAGATTGTAAACCGCTCTGAGACTCCTTCAGGTAGTGAAGGTCGGAGTATAAATCCAATATCCTCCTTTTCTTCTTCTTCTTAAGAGGGAACTTGGCTTGCATTAACCCTGGTTTGGGCCAGAGAGGTACGGGGGAGTGAAGGTTTCCCAAAGGTGGCTCCTGCTTGTCAAACAGTGGTTGGTAGAAGCAATGTTAAACCACAGTTAAGGCTAACCAGAGAAGGCAGGTAGGAATCTGTACTGGAAGAGCAGAGGAATGTGTATTTCCAAAATCTCCCCCCCCCCTCCTTCCCAATTTGTAAGACATGATTTGCAACAGGCCATCATCAGGCCCTTGCTAGACCTGTGTGGCTTAACATGCTTTTATGCAGCGCTACATGCCGAATCCTCGCCCAACAAGTGGGCACGGCAGAGAACCCAAATCCCACTGATAACCTTTCCACAGCTTGCGCTGACTCAGTGTATTGTATTGAAAAGGAAGAGCTAATGTTGGGAGTAATAATTTTTCCCCCTCTGTTCCTGCTCAGATTCATGTTTGTCTTTTAAATGAGCTGGTAAAATGTACTAAAAACTGCATTTATCAGGAGTTTAGTGAGAGTGACAGTGACATTGAGATTCAGAGTGATTCAAGCTCAGAGGAAGAACAGAGAATCACGACGAGAGTTTATCGACGCCGTCTGATTCTTAAGGTATCACGTGCACGATGTCGCTCCGTTGGCATGGAATTGATCTTGGATTGCTGTGCTGATGGTCTTGGCGTTGTTCACGTTAGACGCCCTCTTTTTGGTGTGGGATGGGTTTCATAACTGAGAGCCGCTTCTTATGAAATCTGCAGGCTCGTGGTGTGAGACAGCCGAACTGCACGAGAGTTTGTCTCCCATAACCCCACTCACTGTGTGCTGCATGGCTTCCTCACTGTAGGTATACATGACTACAGATCAGTATGGTAAGAGCCAACTAGACTAATTGCAGTTCTGCAGCCATGCCTGTTACACTTTGACCCAAAGCAGCATCCAAAATGGCGCCCAGTCCTTTGATTTCTCTGTTGAGTCGTATTCTTCTGCTGCTTTGTGGCCCGGGAGTTAAGACTGTGAGAAGAATTCTTCAAGAATTTTCAGAGTTACTCCTGGACCAAAAAAAAAAAATCTTACTAAAAAGAAATCAAACAGCTGTGTGCTGATATGCATGCCACATTGCAGGTGAAAATTGTAATGATCAAGTTACCAAATTGCTGTTGATTGAATCTGAGGGGAATTTGAGGTGTTGTTGTTCAGTCGCACAGTCGAGTCCGACTCTTCGTGACCCCATGGACCACATCATGCCAGGCCCTCCTGTCTTCTGTCGTGCTCCGGAGTTTGCTTAATTTCGTGTCCGTTGCATCGATAACACTGTCTAACCATCTCATCCTTTGCCGTCCCCTTCTTCTTTGACCTTCAATCTTTCCCAGCATCAGGGTCTTCTCCAGTGAGTGCTCCCTTCTCATTAGGTGGCCAAAGTATTTGAGCTTCGGCTTCAGTATCTGGCCTTCCAGGGAACAGTCCGAGTTGATTTCTTTTAGGATTGACTGATTCGATCTCCTTGTAGTCCAAGGGACTCTCAAGAGTCTTCTCCAGTACCATAATTCAAAAGAATCTATTCTTCGGTGCTTGGCCTTCCTTATAGTCCAACTCTCAAAGCCAAACATTACTACTGGGAATGCCATTGCTTTGACAATACGGACTTTTGTTGGCAGGGTGATGTCTCTACTTTTTATTATGCTGTCTAGGTTCGCCATCACTCTCCTCCCAAGGAGCAGGCGTCTTTTAATTTCATGGTTGCAGTCACCATCTGCAGTGATCTTGGATCCCAGGAAAGTGAATTCTGTCACTGCTTCCATGACTTCCCCTTCTATTTGCCAAGGAGTGATGGGGCCAGTTGCCATCATCTTAGTTTTTTTGACGTTGAGTTTCAAGCCAACTTTTGCGCTCTCCTCTTTCACCCGTAGCAAGAGGCTCCTGAGGTCTTCTTCACTTTCTGCGATTAGAGTGGTATCGTCTGCATATCTGAGGTTGTTGATGTTTTTCCCGGCAATCTTAATTCCGATTTGTGATTCATCCAGGCTGGCATTTCGCATGATGTTCTCTGCATATATATTAAATAAGCAAGGTGACAATATACATCCTTGTCGTACTCTTTTTCCTATGCTAAACCACCCAGTTGTTCCATATCCGGTTCTAACTGTCGCTTCTTGACCCTTATACAGGTTTCTCAAGAGACATGTGAGGTAGTCTGATACTCCCATCTCTTTAAGGACCTGCCATAGTTTGTTGTGATCCACACAATCAAAGGGAGATTTCTATACACACCATTCCTTGCTGCAGATTTCTTTCTGTGCACAAATGAGGAACAATATTGTTAGGGTCTTTCATAGACAAGCATATAATTCCTCAACAAAGAGCAATAATTGCTACAGCTTGTTTAATTTTCTGTGGGATTTTTGCAGTTTGTATTTTACTTTTCCTTGCAGTCCATGAAATGAGTGTATATATTTCATCGATACGAGCTCAATAACACAGAAAAGGGCATTTTAATGAGTATGGGTTCACATGAAAGCAGCGATACAAGCTGGAACATTGGATCAAGACCTTTGCTCCTCATTGCAAGACCTGATTGCATACTTGTCGGTGTGACTGTACAGCTATGCAGCACACTTTTTTTCAGGTGGAGAGGGGAACCAGCAGCTGTCTGTTTGACAGACTTTCACGTAACATGTCTCTGAAGCATACCCAAAGGAGAGGCTGGGGGGACTTTCTCAAGATAAATGACGTACAGCTACATAGTGGTGCCCTCAGGCTTAGAGGATCACACTTTTGCTGTCATGCAAGATAAGACACAGGTGGACTCCTGACTAGGGATGGGCACAAACCGAACCATGAAGCAGAATTCATCATGAATTTTGCCCTGATTGTGGTTCACGAACAGAAGTTTGTGATAGGTCTACCATCATGAACTTTTAGAGCAGTTCATGCCGTTTTGTGATGATTCGTGAATGGAGAAGATAGCAGCGGTTTAAAGGGACTCCGAGTCCCTTTAATCCCCTGCTTTCTATTCCCTACAAAACCCACAAGAACAGTTGAGTGGCAGGGAGGCACTTCCTGCTGCTCAGCTTTTGGGCTGTCTTGTGCTTTTGGGCTGTCTTGTGCAGTCCCTTAAAAGTTTTAAAGGCACTGCAGAAAACAGTGTGGAAAACAGCTGCATGGCAGGGAGGTCCTTAGGTATAGGCAAAAACCTGAAAAATGCAGTTTGGTTTGTGCTTTGTGGCTCAGACCCACAAACCCTGTAGAAAGAGGACTGCAGTCCCTTTAAATGGGGTTTGCAGAAAGCCCCCAAAACAACTGAGCAGTGCTCTCCACTGCTCAGCTGTTTCAGGCTGTCTTGTGCAGTCTCTTTAAACTCTAAAGGGACTGCCCAAAACAGCCCAAAAAACAGTGGCACGATGGGGAGGCAGTCTTGTGTGTTATTCTCGGCATAGCCGTGGTTGACATATACACAAGATGTAGGTGGTTAGCTTTCCTCTCTTCACAATGTTGCGGGGGCATTGTGAGCCAAAACTGCAACAGTAGAAATCAACTGTCCCATCTTTCATTCCCTAGAATTCCTGGGGTCCTCAGAAGCTCCGGAGCTTTCTCATCAGAGCAGGGAAACTTCCTGTAAACGATAGTTTGCTGTCCCTTTGGTGAGTCTCTGCTGTAGTGCAGAATTTCAGCAGAACATGGTTGTGTTCCAAGGCGTGGGCTCAGTCTATGCCAAACTCAAGACGCCCAGTTAGCCTGTGACCAACATTCCACCAGAGTGTCTGCATACCTCACAAGATTTTCCTGATTTCTCTGTAATGTTTAAGGGTTGCTATGCAGAAATGTCAGTGGGAAATAGGGTCCTCTGACTGGAAAAACATTTTACGCACTCCACACTGGGCCTTTGCTGATGGTATGTTAAAGGCAGAAAGGAGGAAACGCCAGCTATTGTGGGCTTGGATCCAGCCAACGTTTTCCACTCTGAGCTCACCCGCTTCTCTTTGTTACTGCAGCCCCTGTCTTGCATAGCTGTTTTCCACGGTGGCCGCACTATCCTCAGCACAGATAGTTTTGGTAGTCACAGGGGACCTCTCCCCACCTTTTTCACCAGACAAAAAAGCTGGTCGTACCCAACCCCCGGAAAGGAATATTTCATCTACAGACTTCTGTGTGTTGTGAAATGTTCAGACGGTTACGGGAGCCCGAAGGAATAAATTAAGCCCAGATTTTAAAATGTGGAATGTAAAGCGTTTTTAAAATGCTTGTATGACAAATGTCCCCTGTTTCAGCCTGCAGCAATAACTGAAATATAAAATATTTATTAGGCATCCTTATTTTTTAAAAAAACTGACTATCATTGCTCGGTGCTGGGGGGGACACACCATCAATCGATAGCCGTATCTGAGCTTGGATCCCTAGGAGGCATGGTATCCTCCAGAGATGCAGGTCTAGCTGGCACAGTTCCTTTGTTGTTGTTCAATCGCACAGTCGAGTCCGACTCATCGCGACCCCATGGACCAGCTTCCGCCAGGCCCTCCTGTCTTCCGCCGTCCTCTGAAGTTGGCTCAATTTCATGTTCGTTGCATCTATGACACTGTCTAACCATCTCATCCTTTGCCATCCCCATCTTCTTTGACCTTCAATCTTTCCCAGCATCAGGGTCTTCTCCAGTGAGTGCTCCCTTCTCATTTGGTGGCCAAAGTATTTGAGCTTCAGTTTCATTATCTGGCCTTCCAGGGAACAGTCAGGGTTGATTTCTTTTAGGATTGACTGATTTGATCTTCTTGCAGTCCAAGGGACTCTCAAGAGTCTTCTCCAACACCATAGTTCAAAAGAATCTATTCTTCGGCGCTCGGCCTTCCTTATAGTCCAACTCTCGCAGCCATACATGACTACTGGGAATACCAATGCTTTGACCATGCGGACTTTTGTTGGCAGGGTGATGTCTCTACTTTTTATCATGCTGTTTAGGTTCGCCATCGCTTTCCTCCCAAGGAGCAGGCATCTTTTAATTTCATGGCTGCTGTCACAGTCTGCGGTGATCTGGGATCCCAGGAAGTTCCTACAGTCTCCAAATTAAAAAGTCTACTCTTCTGTTGTGAAATGATAGTGGATGAACTAAGCAAACAGACCTCAGCTCCATATGGATTAGGCTGTCTCACTGTCATCTTTTCTTGGGGAGACACTGATGAGTTATTGCTCGAGACTGCAGTTCTCAGCTTTCCTTCCTTTAAATGCTTCCCTTGTGTAGTTTATCCTGAATCTGCCTCTGCAGTTTCCAAGCCATTGGGAGAAGGAAGACATGGTCCGGGGATATCCATGTCCCACTTTCCAGTATGGCTGAAATTCACACTAGAGCAGCCTGAACATAAGGAAGTTGCCTCCCTTCTGCCATCTTGTACTCCTAGGATAAAGTTATTTCTGGCTCAGGTTTACACCTGGCTATGAGAATGCAGACAGGGCAAGGACAGATGTGAACAGCAAATGGGTTCTTTGGCAAAGTGATAAAGCTACTTTCACGAGTTTGGAAGAAATACTGAGGCTTTTGATATCCAGCCCAGGCCCAGAGACTCTCGCCACCACCGGCCTGGGGGAGACGCACACCCCGGCGAGCCAGCCTCTGAGTAAGCTGGAGCGGCCCAACCCAGACCGCGGCTGGTCCAAACCTGGCACGGCCGAGTCCAAGCCGCCACGGCCCTGCCAGCCTCCCGAAGGTGGTGACTCGCCTCTTGGGGGCCCACGGCACCAGCCCTAATGTTGGGGACAGGGCTGGCAGCCGGGCGCCCGGAGGAGAGAGCCGGGCTGCGGAGGAGTGGTGGAGCAGCTGGGCCGCACCAGACCCCATCTCCGCGGGATGCGCTGGAGATGGGGGGGGCGTCTGATTTTTGAGAGACAGCCGAAGCCATGGTATGGCTGCCCATGCTCATGGTGGAGGGGGAAAGAAAGACCATGGCGTTAAGCACTTTTTAAAGCTTTGTGGCATTAAACCGCCTCGCCTGTCATCACTTAGGAATGTTCTTCTCTGTAGCAGTAGGTGTGTCTGGAATCTCCGAAGATGGAAGTCAGGATTGCAGGGAAAGAATTGTGGGTTTATAATCTGACCCCCTGTAACCCTGTAATCAGATGCATTTAGATCTTGAATGTAACCAAATCACAACAATCGAAATATGCCGACTGTCCCCCTCATGTGCCTTAATTCAATCTGCTCTATTAAACCAAGCTCATAACTTTAACCCGTTTCCCCCCAAATCTGAGGATTTTGGTTGTCCCTCAGTTCATTCAAGTAAGTGAAGCTTTGAAAGTTTCACCAAGGCTTGTAGCTACTCTTCTTGGTTCCTTATATCCCAAAGGTGTGCCCCCTAATACTAAGGTTCCTGGAAATCTCCCACTGATTTCATTGGGTCTTTCAGCATCTGGAACGTGTTGGTTGAATCTTGTAACAGCTTGTAATCTTATAACAGCTTCAAGTGGAAAAGAAATGCTTTTGCCCTCTACGCAAGTCTACGTAGTTGACCCTGCAGGGTGTTCTTTCACACACACCCAAGGTAAAAAAAGGTAAAGGTTCCCTTGCTCGAAAGCCAGTCGAATCCGACTCTAGGGTTGCAGTGCTCATCTCCGTTTCAAAGCCGAAGAGCCAGCGCTGTCCGAAGACGTTTCCGTGGTCATGTGGCCGGCATGACTAAACTCCAAGGCGCACGGAACGCTGTTACCTTCCCACCAAAGTGGTACCTCTTTATCTACTTGCAGTTTCTTGCTTTCGAACGGCTAGGTTGGCAGGAGCTGGAACCAGAGACGGGAGCTCACTCCATCCTGCGGCACCCCCTGGGTCTCGAACTGCTGAACTACTGACCTTCCACAGCCTGCAGTTCAGTGTCTTAACCACTTGAGCCACCGCAGCTCCAGTCCCCCCCAAGGTAGCTTTGTGTATAAATCTCTCTGCCATCTAAATGTTGGCAACTGACAAAATGGGCTCTGAAAGCTTCTGCTGTATTACATTCTTTTAGTCTTTTAAGGTGTCACAAGGCTTTTTATTGCTTTGTCCCCAGAGGCAGACAGTGTGGAGCAGCCTCTTCAAATCCTTGTAGTCATTTGATGAAGGGCACTGTTGTGTCTGAGAGCTCAAACGTCATCAGACGAGTCTGTCTGAAAAGAGGCGGTTCCACTCTTGGTTCTTGGATCGCCCTCTCTCAGTCCGCAGGATCTGCATACATGGCAGGGCCTTTTGCTTTCTGTTTCAGTTCTTTGAGCCACAATGAGCTGCCTCCTCAACAAAGGATATAGCCCTTTGGGGACTGTTCCATTTCAAAACACAGCTGGAGGGATGGTGTGTTTGGTCTCACATATTTCAAAGAAGCAATTCTCTGTATCTTGAAAGTTTGGTCTCTCGCATAGCAAGGCGTTAGTCTAGGTTTCTCTTCAGGGTGGCCTGGGCGACATTAAACGTGAACTGGTATAACCCAAGAAGGACTGTACCACATGCAGTTTCTGCATGCCAGGACTGACCCAAGGCAATATGAAGGACTGGGCTGTTCCAAATGGAAAGCAAAAAAGGTCCTGCTGTGCCTCCATTTAGTCGATCACAGGGCTAAAATCTTCTATCTGCTAGGAAGATCAGCAAGTAAGAAAGGAAATTTACCTCTTCTTTTTGTAAACACAGTTCAAGATTTTGCTTTTGAATGTTGTTTTTTAAGCAGTATCGATTATCTGTAGCTGATGAGTGAGAGTCCAGCATTGTTGTTGAAGATCTTTAGTGCATCTTACTACACATATGCAGTACTCCTGTGAGGGTCACCTCCATCAGGGGCTATGTCTCACTGATAGTGCATCTGGTTTTTATAGGGCTGCCAAGTGGGGGTGGGGGTCAGATAAACCCCCGCTTCGGAGGCCCGATTTCCGCCGCCGCGGAATCGGGCCCCGGGGGGGGACTCCGCCCCCCGAAGCGCAGTGTGGCTGCGTCACCAGAGGTGATGCAACCACATCAATCACGTTGGGGGCGTGGCCCCGATCGTCGGAGGGAAAACTGTATGGTTTCCCCTCCGACGATCGGGGCCACGCCTTCAATGTGATTGACATTGCGCGTCACTTCTGGTCATGTGCTGGTGGCGCGCGCACGTGCGCTTCAAAGGACAGCTCCCAGAGCCCGGCGAGGATCCCCCGCCGGTAAGATATTTTGACTTGGCAACCCTAGGTTTTTATGCAGAAGGTCCCAGGTTTGATCCCTGGCATTACTAGCTCTAGAAGGATCATAGTAGCGGTGAGGAAGACTTACACCTGAGGCCCTGGAGAGCTGCTGCCCGTCAGAGTAGTGCCTTTGATAGACCAGTCGTCTGACTCAGTGTAAGGCAGCTTCGTGTGCACATCGCTGGCACCTTTTTGAGCTGCTGTCATCATAAGGAATTGAGGCAGCTGTGAATGCGATGCACATGAACTATTTATTGTGAGTCACTTTGGAGCTACTGTTTCTAGCACATTTCACTCCAGTGGCATTTCCATGCTGTCCTGGCAGCGCTACACATTCCTAGATGCGATCATATGTGAGTTGCTGCGTGTACTTAACTAGCCCTTAAGATCCAGACCGCAACGTTAGTGCTGAGGTGAAATTTTATTTTGTGATTACATCCAAGCAAACACCTTTACGTGAGAAATTAATACACTTTGTGAGGTAAAAATCTGTCAGAATGCCTCCAAAGAAAGACAAGAGCAAAAGGTTGAGACGGTTGAAGGAGAAGGGGATGGAGCTACTGCTGAGGGGAATGTTACTCTGAATCAGCGAGAAATCTGGAAATCAAAAGAAAGGGTAGAATTGGCCAAATTAGCTGGAAAAAGAAAGGGAAAGGCTTAGGCACTTTTTTTTTCCTGCACATGCAGGGGAAGGTATCCCATTTTCCCTTCTAGTGGCTATCCTTTGCATCTCATGGGATGCTCCTTCAGTGGGCCTCTGACCTTTACAGGGTCTCTGGGATTTTTTTGAGGGGGGTCTGTTAAGCAGAAAGGGGAGCTGAGAAGTCCCCATAGATTCACAGCATTTTGGATCCTGGTTCATGACCGCTTAATAAAACTTTTAGTGTGATAACATTGGAATGTGAAAACGGCATATAAGCTATTCGTTGCCAAGAACATTGGAAACGCTGTTTCTCACAAGTAACCCTGCATGACTTGTATTGCTTGGAGTGGTGTTGAAAAGTCAATGTGGGGCGAATATGGCTGATCTAGCTAACATTATAACATTCTTTAGGGTGAGGAAGCAAAAAACATTCCTGGTGAATCTGTTACGGAAGAACAGTTTACTGACGAAGAAGGCAACGTCGTCACCAGAAAAGTAATCCTGCCTTGCGTTTTCATTTTTCTGACCTTTTTTTTAAAAAAAAACACACCTGCGTGTTGACTTTTGCCATCAGTTTTGTCCTTTCAGACTCAGGGGAAACTGTACCGATTTTCGATTTCTCCTGTATTGCTTCCCACAGGTTACCCGGAAAGTATTAAGGCGTCTTGTTATCCCACATGAGAAAAAACACGGTGAAATGGTAACAGTGTGTGGAGGGGACTAGCACATAAGGGTTGCGCTCTCTTTCTAAATAGCGCTGCTGAATGGCTAAGCTGCTTGCCCTTTAACACCAAGCCATGCAAAGCAGAGTGCTTCTGCTTGTGATAAGTAGTGCATCTTCACTCTGGAGAAGGCTCACAGACAGACTGTGGATAGGACGTGTATATTTGTGGTCTCTCCAGAAAGACATTCACATTTTGTGACAGCAATAAATATGTGCATTAGAGTCTGTTTTTCAGAAGGTCTGAAGATCCATCGCTATTCTCATCCCTCGTGCCCCCCCCCCTGATTTCTTGTAGAATCTTGGGAAAGAATGGGGTAGAGCAGGTTTCAGGACATAATCCTGCAGCTCTTTGCCTCTATGGTCCTTTCTGCACTAGACCTTAAATCCTGGCTCAACCCTGTCCCTGAACTTGCATTCTACACTACACTCAAGTTCACCCCTGTAATTATCTCAGGGTATTTTTACATTCTACACCACACTCAAGTTCACCCCTGTAATTATTTCGGAGTATTTTTTGTTTCCACATTACATTGAGGTCGCCCCGGTTTCGCCCCACACTTGTCCCGGGATAAACGGATGCTGTTATAACCGGGGATAAATGCAAAGTATTGTGTTCTGAGTTGAACTCTGATCAAACCAGGGATGAGATCCAAGTGCAGAAAGGACCTAAGACATTCCTTCTGTGACTTAGAGGTAATGGTGGCAAGCCCGAAACTAGGTGTCTGGTTCACGGCCCCAAACGTTGTCCGATCTGTGCACTCTTTGCCTTTGTAGAATCAAATCCCACATTGTTTCATGGTTTTTTTCCTTATTCAGGCTCTTTACTGAGCCAGCCTTTCTAACAGCCTTGACAGATGATTGCAAAAACAGAGGCAATCAAACTATTCAGGGTTTTCCCCCCCACTGAGGAATCCTCTTCCAGTTTGGTGTAGTGGTTAAGTGAGCGGACTCTAATCTGGGAGAACCGGGTTTGACTCCCCAATCCTCCACTTGCAGCTGCTGGGTGACCTTGGGCAAGCCATAGTTCTGTCAGTATAATAAGGCATAAGATACGTTTCCTTTGACTTCTTGAGTTTGCTGGCTGAAGAAGTCAAAGGAAACGCATCTTCCAAGTATCTAGAATGGGCGTCTTTGTAAAGGCTGTTTGGAGAATGTTATGACTATGTGGACTCCTCCTATCAAGTTACACTGTCTACATGGACTTTATGTCTTATGGTCAAAGGAGGAAACATTCTATCTTATGTCTTATTATAGTTACAGTATGCATTAATGTTGTTGTGACACCACCAACTTTATAATTCTTTAGTATATCATTTTGGCAATCTTTGATGGTGTTTTCTACTAGTGGAATTTGTATATTTGGGACTCCTGTGCCACTCATCTTGAGAGCCAGTTTGGTGTAGTGGTTAAGTGTGCGGACTCTAATCTGGGAGAACGGGGTTTGATTCCCCCCTCCTCCACTTGCACCTGGCTGGATGACCTGGGGCAAGCCATAATTCTGGCACAGCTGTTCTTGGAAAAGAGCAGTTTCTGTCAAGAGCTCTCTCAGCCCCACCTACCTCACAGGGTGTCTGTTGTGGGGAGGGGAAGGGAAAGGAGTCTGTAAGCCGCTCTGAGACACCTTTGGGTAGTGAAGGGCAGGGTATAATACTCCTACTCCTACTCCTTCCCTTGTTTTTTGGATAGTTCTGTCAGAGCTGTTCTCTCGTTCTGTCAAGAGCTCTCTCAGCCCCATGGACCTCACAGGGTGTCTGTTGTGGGGAGGGAAAGGGAAAGGAGTTTGTAAGCCGCTCTGAGACTCTGAGTGAAGGGCAAGGTATAAATCCAATTTCCTCCTCTTAGACAGTTCAAATAAATGCACTCAGTATACTATTCAGTTCCTAATGTTGGTGCTTTTTTGAGATATTAAACAAAGTGTGAGATAACTTACAGTTAATCAAACAAAGCTTCATAGAATCACAGAATCATACAGACCATCCCATCTAGTCCAAACCCCTGCCCATTGCAGGACCAGCCTAGAGCATCTCTGACAAATATTTGTCCAGCCTCTTCTTGGAAGCTGTCAGTGAAAGGGAGCTCACCACCTCCCTAGGCAGCTGATTCCACCTCTGAACCACTCTGACTGTGAAAACGTTTTTCCTAATATCCAGCCGATACCTTTCTGCATGTAATTTAAACCCATTGCTTCAGGTCCTGTCCTCTGCTGCCAACTGGAGCAGCTCCTTGCCCTCCTCCAAATGACAGCCTTTCAGATATTTAAAGAGAGCAATCATGTCCCCCCCCTCAATCTCCTATTCTCCAAACTAAACATTCCCAAGGCTCTTAGCCTTTCCTCGTAGGGCTCAGTCTCCAGACCCCTGATCATCCTCGTCGCTCTCTTCTGCACCCTCTCGGTTTTGTCCACATCCTTTTTGAAGTGAGGCCTCCAGGACTGCGCACAGGACTCCAGGTGCGGCCTGACCAAGGCAGCATACAGAGGGGCTATGACCTCCTGTGATTTCAATGCTATGACCCTTTTAATACAACCCAAGACTGAATTTGCCTTTTTTGCCACCGCCATCACACTGACTGCTCATATTTAGTTTACAGTCCACCCTTACCCCAAGATCTCTTTCACATACACTACTCCCCAGAAACGTATCCCCCATCCAGTATTTGTGCTTGACATTTTTGTGGCCCAGATGTAATACTGTGCATTTATCTTTGTTGAATTGCATCCTATTTGCACCTGCCTCTTCTCCAGAGTATTCAGGTCTTGTTGAATTTTAACTCTATCTTCTTGGGTGTTTGCTACTCCTCCCAATTTGGTATCATCAGCAAATTTAATGAGTAGCCCTTCTACCTCTTCATCCTGATCATTGATAAAAATATTGAAAAGTACCGGGCCCAAAACCAAGCCCTGCGGCACTGTACTGGACACCTCCCTCCAATCTGATGAAATGCCATTGACCACCACTCTTTGGGTGCGGTCCTCTAACCAGTTCCCTATCCATCGAACTGTCCTATAGTCCAGTCCACAGTCTTCCAGTTTTCCCATCAGAATGTCATGGGGAACCTTATCAAAACCTTTACTGAAATCCAGGTAAATCACATCAACAGAGTTCCCACAATCCAGTAAGCTCGTCCCATGATCAAAGAGGGAAACCAAGTTAGTCTGACAAGATCTGTTGGGAACAAAACCATGCTGACTTCCCCGGATCACTAGATGCTTACAGATCAATCCCTTTAAAATCTGATCTAGTATTTTCCCAGCAACAGAAGTCAGACTGACCGGCCTGTAGTTTCCCGGGTCATCCTTCTTCCCTTTCTTAAAGATTGGGATAACATTCGCCCTTCTCCAATCTTGTGGCACCTCCCCAGTCCTCCAGTAGGCCTTGACAATGATGGACAGAGGCTCTGCATGTTCATTAGACAGTTCTTTGAGCACTCTTGGGTGCACACCATCTGGCCCAGGGGATTTGTATTCGTCCAGTGCAGCCAGGTGCCTCTCCACAACCTCCCTGTCAATGTCAATTGGACACTCAAGCAAGGTTCCCTCTAAGCTGTGGAGTCTTGGGAGCAAAAATCCTACTTTGTGAGCTACTGGCATTAAAGTTGTGAGCGAGCGATTTGGCTCCTGCATAAATGAGTGTGCTCTGGAGCCATCCTTCCTGAGCTAAGGCAAAAATGTGTGAGCCGGAGGCTAAAAAGCTTTGAGCTAGCTCACACTAACTCATCTTAGAGGGAACACTGCACTCAAGTGTCCTGTTACGTCCTATACCATCTCTAGATGGGCTCAAGTTCATCTGGGAGAAAACAGAGGCAAAAAAGTCATTAAGCCTGTCTGCTTTTTCTCTGTCCTCCACCAGAGTTTCTCCTACTCCCAAAAGCAGTCCAGTTGCCTTTTTTACCTTGCGTTTGCTTCTCACATACCTGTAGACGTTTTTCTTATTGTAGCGAGCCCCCCTGGCCAGACCCAACTCATACTGAGCTTTGGTTTCCCTGATGGCTGATCTGCAGTACCTAGTAATTCTCATATACTCCTCTGACCTTCCCTCCATTTCCCTCCATTTCCTTTTTCTCCCTTAGCTTATTCTGAAGCTCTCAATTCATCCACATCCTGTTGCGACTTCAGTTTAAAGCTCTCCTGATTAAGCTCTTCAGGTTCTTTCTGAACATTTTCTTCCCTGACCTTGAGAGGTGAAGTCCATCATGTGCTAGAAGGCCTTCTCTAAGAAAACTTATCCCGTGGTCCTAGAACCCAAAGCACTCCTGCCGGCACCACCATCACAGCCAACGATTCACCTCGAGTATGGTCTGTTCTCTTCGCACTCCTCTTCCTTTTATTGGAAGGATAGAAGAGAATACCACCTGTGCCCCCAATGCCTTCAAGTGCCTTCCAAGAGCTTCATAGTCCTCTTTAATTTTCATGATGGTATTCGCGGCCGTGTCATTCCCCACATGAACCAGTACAAATGGGTACTGATCAGTAGGTCGTATCCATTTTGGCAGTCGGTCTGTAATATCCTGGATTCTGGCCCCAGGTAAGCAACACATCTCTCTGAGTGGGGGATCTGGCCCAGACACATTACGTTCCATACCCCTGAGCAGAGAGTCCCCAACGACCACCACTTTCCGTTTCCTTCCACTTCCGTGTGGCACCATGCCCTCTTCACTCCCTTTTCCAGATCTTTGTGGCTCTCCTTCCACTCTCGTCTCCGTCACCCTCTCAAGCACCTCAAAACGATTCTTGAGCTCCAGTGGACCAGAGGGTCATCTTAGTCGATGTCTTCGGGTTTGTACTGTAGAACTGAGAGGAGGCTCAGAAGGGAGATCTACTCTTCCTTCTTCTCCTTGACTTCCTTCTTTATGTTCTTGCAGAGTTCCCAGGCTCTTGTCAATAAAATCCTCCCCTTCCTTGATTTAATAAGAACATAAGAGATGCCAATGTTGGATCAGGCCAAAGGCCCATCCAGTCCAACACTCTGTATCACACAGTGGCCAGAAATACCAGTGCCATCAGGAGGTCCACCAGTGGGGCCAGGACATTAGAAGCCCTACTACTGTTGGCCCCCCCAAGCACCAAGATGACAGAGCATCACTTGCCCCAGAGTCCCTATCTATACCTTGTGGCTAATAGCCACTGATGGACCTCTGCTCCATATGCTTATCTAATTCCCTTTTGAAGCCGTCCATGCTTGTAGCCACCACCACTTCCTGTGGCAGTGAATTCCAAGTGTTAATCACTCTTTGGGTGAAGAAGGACGTCCTGGAAAGTGTTCCAACCCTTTTATCATTCGAGTTGCCCTTTTCTGCACTTTTTCCAAAGCTATAATATCCTTTTTAAGGTGTGGTGACCAGAATTGCACACAGTATTCCAAATGAGGTCTCACCATTGATTTATATAGGGGCATTATTATATTGGCTGATCTGTTTTCAATACCCTTCCTAATAATCCCCAGCATAGCATTTGCCTTCTTTATTGCAGTCACACACTGTCTTGACATTTTCAGTGAGTTATCTACTACAACTCCAAGATCTCTCTCTTGATCAGTCTCTGCCAGTTCAGACCCCATCAACGTGTATTTATATTTAGGATTTTTGGCTCCAATGTGCATCACCTTGCACTTGGCCACATTGAACCCCATTTGCCATGTTGACGCCCACTCGCCCATCTTTGACAGATCCCTTTGGAATGCCTCACAATCCTCACTGGTTTTCACCACCCTGAACAACTTCGTATCATCCGCAAATGTAGCCACTTCACTGCTTACTCCCAACTCCAAGTCATTAATGAACAAGTTAAAAAGCAGTGGACCAAGTACTGATCCCTGCGGTACCCCACTGGTTACCCCCCTCCACTGAGAGAACTGCCCATTTATACTCACTCTCTGTTTTCTATTAATTAATTATTAATTAATTAGATTTCCTGAAGGGTGGTGATCCTCTCCTACAGGCTCTGAATGTTCTCCTCCAAAAGCCGGACCAGCTTACACTTCTGACAAGTGAAGTCCGTCTTCTCTTCTCTTCCGGGAGGAAAACAAACATGGTACACTCCATGCAGGTGACTGGAAAGGGGCCTTCAGTATATTCCAAGAGTACTCTGAGCAGAGTTTCGGGGCCCTCAGGCAGATCCTCAGGCTAAGAGCCACAGGACAAGAGCCCTTTAGCTCTCACCAAGGCTTGTGCCTCTGGCGAGGAGGAGCCTTTTGTTTCAAAAGGTCACTTCCTGCCAAGCTCAGCAGAGCTCAGCACAATAGGCTTGTAATCAACAGCAACTCACTCAGTCCCCAGCAGCCCCCAAAACACAATTAGCCCCAAACAGAACTTAAACAGAACCACTCTCTAGCAGGCTCCAAAGAACCCACTCACCCTCAGCTTCTCACACAGCAGCTAGGAAAGGCAGAAGGACAAAAAACCCCTTACCTTCTAGAAGCACTTCGCCGTGTGCTCTCCATGCATTCTAAATGAAAAAGCCAAGGGTTACTATTTTCTTCTTTTAATTCACAATTACAGGGACACACCAGAACCAAAGTAGCTTCAAATACAAACAAGTGGGCCCATGGTTTCCAGCTCCACCGATCAATCAGCTAGAGGTGTCACACTCATTTGTTACAAGGGCCGGATCTGACATAAATGTCACTTTGCTGGGCCGGGCCATGTGTGCCATAAAACATAATGCCAGGTACCGGAGATATAAACTGTATAAAGGACAGCAGCTGGTAAACTCCAAGTGGGTGTATCCTCACTGCAAGGTTCCATGGGCTGGGAGGGGGGGTGCAAAGGAAAACCCATATGGGCAGACTGGAGAGCCAGCAATGCAGCACTGGGCAGATGCTCCCACACTGCTTGACTGCTGCATACGAGGTTGTTCCGCCATGCTGAAGCCACAGTCGGAGTGGCTGTGCCCACTCCCCCCAAACATTCTCTTGTTCCCTCCATTGCACTAGTTACTCGCGGGCCACATAAGAGCCCTAGGTGGGCTGGTTCTGGCCCCCGGGCCTTATGTTTGACACCCCTGAGCTAAAGCTTTAGTTGATGATTCCGCTGATTAGGGTTAGGGCTTTGTTTTAGCAAAAATGCTGTGATTGCTACCAGTCCATTACCTGTAGTGCCATCTTTAGGTGAAAGTTATTTGCCAGTTTTAAAATAATGTCACAGAAGTTGTGTATTCTAAATCTAGAGAATGAAATTTAAATCCTTCTATGAGCTTTTTTTTTTTTTAAGACCATAAGATCTACAAAATGTCAGGACACTGATGAGGATGAAAGTAGTTATTTTAGCCCTCCTTTACTTCATTGAGCTTGATATTCACTTGACTTATCAGTAAACACTTGTTGCATAGAAGGGGCATCTTAATGCACCTCCAGTTTCCCGTTTCCCATGTGCCTAGCATGATTGGTGGCGCATTAGTTGTGCCAGGTACACCATGTCCTCTACCCCATAGGCCGCTTTGTGAATAGGTAGCAAAGCTAAACCAAAGGTGGAAATCTGATTTCGTTTCTGGATCTTCTTCTTTGGAGTAAGTCTATAATGTAGGCCAATGTATGCAGATAATTGCCAAACTAAAAAATTGCACCGCTTGGGGTTTTCTTTACTTCCCCCCCCCCCCAGAGCATCTGTTTTTACATTAACACTGAGTCGGATTCGACTGGCTTTCGAGCAAGGGAACCTTTACCTTTATTGTTAATAGAACAGTGCTCCACACTTAGGTCTTCTGACTTAAATGACTAGAATTGAGAAGATCAGCACTGCTTGTCAGTTCTTTGGTTTTTATTGCAGAATTTCTGCTTTGGCAAATATTTTTTGCTGGCTTGCCCCCCCTCCCACTCCCCATCTTTTCCTCCATTACTAATCCACTCACTTTGAAGCTGAATTGTCAATATGACCCTTTAAGGAAAGAAGTAAGATTTCTAAAGTATCTGCTAACTTGGGGTGCCCAGCAAGGGGTATTTTGCATTGAGATGCAAAATTCAGAATTCTAAATTTTAAAAAACTCACACTGATAAAGATTATTCTAGAATGGTGGCAACCCAATTCAGCAGACAGTTCATAATATGCGGGATTATCGCTTTGTAAAGAGGTGCTATTGAAAGCGTGTGTTCTTGCAGCTCAGCAGAGTGGCTAAGGCCGTGGATTGTGTGGTTTGGAAATGAAGTGTTCATGATTTAACAGCTCCTTATGTATCCCATTGCAGCTTCATGGGACCTACAAGAACCAGCAGAGTAACAAATGCTATCTGATTTCTGAAAGTGTACCTTTGTCCTTTAAAGCAGGGAGAAGGTTATAAGGTGAAGATGAAAAAGGAAGTCCGACATGTAGAGAAGACGTCATATTCATAACAACCAAACAGCAAATGGTCAGTATGACATGTGGATGTTCCCTAAAATTTCCAGGTATTTCCCAACCCAAAGATGGCAACCCTACTATGCGCAGATCCCGTGCTTTACTAGGGTTGCCAAGTGAAAAAATTGCCGCAGCGGGGGACTCCCGACTTGCGGCTTGAGCACGCTGGGGGCGGGGCCACGACTGTCCGAGGGAAAACCATACAGTTTTCCCTCGGATGGTCGTGGCCCCGCCCCCAGCGTGCCCGATGTTGTCACGTCACTTCCAGGTGACGTGCACGTGGGGGTGAGGTTCCCCCCAGGGCCCGATCCACCGACTCTTAAATCCTGTGCAGAGCTAATGGAGATGCACCATGTCTCCTCCTTTCCCGTCGCTGTTTTCTACTCCCACCAGTAGCCCCCCCCGGCAGATCATGAGGGTCAAAGTGGAGGGCTGCATTGAAAGGGGGGAATCAGTAAAAATCACTCTCTTCCTCTTCCACAAGCAGTAAGTGCCTAGGATCTAGCACATGGACTTTTGGCATGCAGTGCACGTCTGGGGGCTTGTGCTTATTGCCATGCACCTTTTACAGGGCCGTAGTCAGGATTTTTTTTTACTTTGGGGGGCATTTAAATAAGTTGGGGGCAGGGGCGGATTAACCATTAAGCAGACTGAGCACGTGCTTAGGGCACCAGGGCCAAAGGGGGCACCACAAAGTTGGGAAAGGGGTGAAAAGAAAAAAAAACGAATGAAGATTTGTAAAAAAATACATAAATTAATAAAACTAGTGCAAATTGATCATGGTGCACCCTAGGGTTATCTCCTATTTTTTTTGTTGGCGAAGTAAAAGGATGGAGCCAAATTCAGTTGTCATGACAGTCATTTCAATGACCCTCCCTGCCCCTTTTTAATTTCAGCCCCATGTAAACGTCAAAAATGAAGCGTGTTCAGTTGAGTGGTACGCAAAAGGAGGGGGGCACCAAGATTGGTCAGTGCTTAGGGCACCAGTAAGCCTTAATCCACCCCTGGTCGGGGGGCACCCCCGTACGCACTGCCGGCAGGGAAGGCAGGGCAACAGCTCAGCTTGGCATGAATTGGGGGGGGGGGGCCATGTTGTATCCTAATCTTCATCATATCTCCTTGGAAACTGGGTTGCCAGTTTTTTTATACTGCCCAGGCTCCTTTTCCGCCCATGGTGTCAGCCATTTTGTGAAATAAATCCTTCTTTTTTTTTTACTTGAGGGAGGGCAGCTTTTCCCAGCTGTTGCAACTAATTGCCCAAGATAGTGAGCCATTGTCTGGAAGCACTAAGTTAAAGCAAGTGTAACAGCTCCAAATAGCACACATAGACAGAGGGCCTGACAACAAAGGAGAGGGAAATTTGTTCCAGAAACACCTGCTTATCCCCAAAGGGTTAAAAAGCTAATAAACTCTTTCTTCTAAATATGATGCATTAATTGTCCCTTGCCTAAGGAGGAGAAAGTGACTCAGGCAAGTGGAGAATCATTTCACCTCACATAATAAAGCTGTGAGTTGAGAGAGGATTTCGAAGGTGTTCTTGACTCTCCTGGGTGACTTAAGAGATACTGGATATCTTCAGAGTCAAGAACACCTTCAGAATCCTCTCCCTTCCCACCTTTTGTTTGGCCAGAGGAGCAGATATCTCATTTGCTGTTGCATCTGTTTGAATCTTCGAATATTGTGCCAGCAAATTAGCTTTCGAAGTCCAGCAGTTGCACAACTGTGTTTGTGAGAGTAAAATTACTACCTGTCTCACTCCCTAATGATTACACCGTACAGGGCTCTTTTTGTAGATAAAGCCCAGCAGGAACTCATTAGCATAGTAGGCCACACCCAACAGCAGAAACTCATTAGCACAGGCCACACCCATGACAGCACAGCTCATTGGCATATTAGGCCACACCCCCATGTTACCAGAAGTGTGCTCATCGAGCCACACCCACCTTTTGCTTCTTATTCTGTTCACCTTGTTTGTTGTCAAAACCCAGGGCTTTATTGTAGCAGGAACTCCTTTGCATGTTAGGCCACACACCCCTAATGTAGCCAATCCTAATGAGTTTCTGCTGTTGGGTGTGGCCTATTATGCTAATGAGTTCCTGCTAGGCGTGGCCAACTCGGGAGCCAGCCGGAACTCCGTTCCTGTGCGTTCCTGCCCAAAAATAGCCCTGACACCGTGCAGTAATGTAGAATTGAATTGCCTGGTGGTTTTGCTTTTACCTGGAAGTAGGACCGCCCCCCTAGAGTCGGATTCGAGTGGCTTTCGAGCAAGGGAAACCTTTACCTTTTCTTCTAATCTTTGCTTTCTCTTTCTCTCTCCCTGGCCCTGCCGCCTATCCCAGGACTGTGTGCGCTATTACTGCCAGTATTCTAGGAAGAAAGGAAGAAAAAAACAAAATCAACAGGAATGATAAAGTCACTGATAAAAGCGTGTGTGCGTGTGTGTGTGTGCTGCTTCCACACATTAACCGCATGGTTTTTATGCGAAAAGGAGAGAAAAAACCACAACAAAAAAATAATCTAATTTAGCATGAGCCAGTTCTTCAAGAGCATGGAAATTCACTTTCACTCACGGCATTGGAGAGTTTGCAAATGGCGGACCAATGCACTGTATATACAAGATGCCACGCTGGAATAGCTTCTTTCCGGCCACTGGAAGTCGTCGCAAAACAAAAAGAATTCCTGTAGCAAGGGGTGCGGGGGTGGGGAAATGAATCAACACTGAAAAATGGTTTGAACCACAGAAAGACACTAAATTTTACTAAAATCCACACAACAGCTCGCCTTATTTTTCTTGGACCCAAACTGTCAGGGTAATAAAACACTCTTTTGTTTCTTTTTTAAAAAAAATAAATAACTGACATCGATAATTTCACTGTAAATAAATAACGCTGTATAAATCCTCAGTAGATTCAATGTTGATTAAGGCACTGGCTCTAAGCTCACCAACCGGAATACTGCATTCGTGTCGAACAGAAATCAGTGTCTCAACATGGCTTACACCTGCAGGGATATTCTGGGTGTATCTTCACGGATTCTTGTATATTTAGCGATTATAATGTTTGTATATGCAAAAATGCTAGCTTGATTTTAAAAAAATCTTTAAAATCCACTGCAAATTTAATGATTCCTAAGATGAGGAATTCTGTAGTTCTGTGAAAAAAAATGATTTTTTTTTTCCTTCTTCAGAGTACTAATATTTTGGTGCATGCGTTTCACCTTATTTTGATGAAATCTTTTTCCAGTTTTGCAAACACTAGACCGCAACTTGATAAATAAGATTCTGAAGGGGGGGGGGGGTTGCCATTCACCAAGCACGGCCTCTGAGCCAGTCCCCGTTTGTTTAAAGAGGGTGTGGAGGGGACTCTGGCACATGTGCTGCTGAAACAAGGGGCACTTGCCCAGGCAGCAGGGCTTGCTGGAAGTGGGGTGTGTGCCCTTTCTCTACAAATACATAGATAGCCCTTCATCTAATATTTGTTGCCGTTGCCAATTTTTTTCGATGGAGATGACCTAAAATTTAAAGAAGATATAACATCTACAGTAGTTGCATTGTAGGAAAAGGGGGGGGGGTGCTATCTGTTCTTGCTTTATACCCCGGGGTGGGGGTGGGGGAATGCTTGCAGCTTTTAGAGATGGGTTGGTGCTCTTGTAAGCATACGTTTGGGATATTTAAAAACAAAAAAAAAGATAAACGAAGAGAAATTCTTAGATCTCAGACTGGCGGCACGCTGTAAAAATGAAATATTACTGTATTGTGTACCGGCTCTAAGATGTAGAATCTTTAAATAAGCCAATCATCTGTAATCATTCTAGCCGTGTCATCTTAGGTTGTTAAGGCTGCTGTGTTTTAAAGGGCATTTTTTATTTGGGTTTTTTTGTGAAATACTTTAATTTGTTAATTATCTTCATATGAAAACAGAATTCATCGATAATAGCTCTAATTACATATGTATGAGGAAAAAAAACCACTGGATGATCTAGTTGATTATTTAAGCATAAAATAAATTGTGTTAAAACTCTTCACTCATATGGATATTGTAATATTATTATATGCTCAAGATGTACACCAAAATAGTCACAAGTTACCATCTGAGTGGTGGGTTCTTGTTCCCGGGTGGCCGTTACTTCACTCTCGTTTCTTGGCATCTCCAATTTCTCCACCCTTCCTTGACTTTGACCCCTTCCCTCGGGCTTTGCTCCCCCTTGCTTCCTACTACTTTTTTCTTCCACCTGCTCTCACCTTCTTCCCTACCTACACGGGTTGCCCGTTTCTTCTGTCCCTCCTTCCCTGTCCTCTCATTGGTTCCTTTGCCCTTTAGACCCCGCAGGGGCCATTTAATTTGTCCATAAATGTTCAGGAATATGGGGTGCACAGTGTGGTGACCAGGTTTATGGACGATACCAAATCAGTCTGGATGGTCGAAACCAAAGCAGGTTATGAAGAGCTTCAAGAGAATCTCTCCCACTTGGGTGAGTGGGTAGCAAGGTTGTAATCAGCATCCTGCTTGCAGTGGGTGGGCAAGGCGCGAGCGGACCCCCAAATATCTATTTTTAATTAAGGCCGATTGCTCAGATGTACAGTCCCATAAGAACATAAGAAGAGACCTGGGAGACAATCTTCACCCAAACACGAAGTTAGAGATGACGTGGAAAACCAGCAAACAGGAAGACCACTAAGAATACCAGAGAGTATCTGCTGAATTAGTTCCTTTTTAAAAAAAAATGTAAATGTAAAACTGCAGTGCTCTTCACTGACAACAATAATATTCAGGACTTCGTTTTGCCTTATTTCTACTGCCATGATGTTTCTTTTGTTAAATGCTGTTGCAAGTGCCACACAAGTGCCCAGTGTTCTTGATTACTCTGTGGTAATTCACTTGATTTCTCATCATTCGATTGTTTGGTGACTTTCAGCCATCTCTGTTGAATGATCTTCACTGACAGGTATTGTCTTTGACCTGACATAGAAGTTCTACCTATTGTGATTAATCAGTGATTACTCATTCACATACGTACACGAACAGATGATGAATACATTTGTGTGAGCTAGCTCCTCAGTCATTCGCACAGTGATCAGAACCATTTGTTTTAATGCTTCAAGGGGGAAAAAATTGCTTCTTTTTGAAGGTTACATATTATCCAGGTGGTATATTGTATGATACTGGAAGTAGATGTCATAGGAGATATGAGGCTATTGCTAAAAACAGCAGCCTTGCATCTCTTCTCTCCCCTGGTAATGATTAATAGCACAAAGCATGATGGGACATCAGTGTACTGCAAGTTTCTCCAACCAACGAAGTGGCAGCCAATGAACGGGCAAAAAGGTAAGGAAAACTCATGTGGGTAGATCAGACAATGTCCTTTTTTTACTTGTATGAGTATGTTGAAAGGTACCTCTTCCACACTAATTACATGGAAGGTGACAAAGATGTATGTGGGTGCCATCCTCAAAAATTACCCTGAATGTTCAAGGTTACATTTTACTACACAGCATAAAGTGAGTCACTCCTGAGGAAATTTTAGAGGTCAAAAAGTTATGAGCCTATTTAGACACGCTTGTACACCAGGGCTCCCCAATCTTTTTGAGCCTGTGGGCAGTTCTGGAATTTTCAGACAACGAGTTTACAAAATGGCCACCTTAGAGGAGCAATCACAAAATGGCTGCCCAAGTGGCCGGTCAGAAAATGTTGAGCATTTGCAAATGAAGAATTCTCCTTTGATGGAGACAGCTGTTTCAGAATAGGTGCTCTCTGCAGATATGAAGGTGGTGCCTCCTGGGTTTATCTGTTCCAGTGAGCTGGAAGAAAACCAGGGTTGGCTCTTCACTATCAGAAAGGGAAACTTTATCAAATAAATGAGTGTCAGGAAGAGCATTAGTGGGTCCCATGATGGAGAACACTACTATACACCAAATGTAGGTAAAGAGCACCGGTAATAAGTTAATTCTTACAGTTGGACTTTGCCTTTGCTAGGTGAATTACTGTAAGGGTTCAAGTGACAAATTAACCAAAAACTATGGTGTCGAACTGAAGTATTGTTTTAACGGCCCCATTCAGCTATTTCAAGTCTATTGCATATTTGGTAGCCGGCTCATTTCATAACAGTTCTAGGTATAAAATGTCCAGATTAGATACGGTATATACATAGTTTAGGCTTACCAAGTCCCCCCGGGAAGCGGGGAAACCCCCGCCCCAGAGGCCCGTTCCCCGCCGCCAGCGGATCGGGCCCCAGGGGGAACCCCACCCCGACGTGCACGTCATCCGGAAGTGACGTGACCACGCTGGGGGCGGGCCACGGTCATCCGAGGGAAGTTTTCCCTCAGATGGTTGTGGCCCCGCCCCCAGCGTGCCCGGCGTGGTTGCATCACTTCCGAGTGACGAGGATGCAGCGTGCGCGCGCTCCAGCCGGGCGTCCCCCACTGCGGCGAAGATCGTGCTTGGCAACCCTAACATAGTTATGACTGTAAGTAGAAGAGACAGCCATACCCTTTAAAACAAGAACAAGATGGAAAGCTATAAATAGCATGTAGTTATAGCATGATTTTAATCCTTCCGGAGCCATGTCGAAGCTGAATCATGTTGAATGCCCACCCCCACCCCCCGGTCAGAAGAAAGAGAAAGACACCCAGTTGGGTTTAACTAAGGGCCCCTTTATTAACTATTTACATCTTTGCATCAAGGGCACACCCCGAGTGCGGGAATCCGCCACAGCCAAGGGTCGCCCCAGACCACCTCACCATACACCGGGAAAGCCACCTTTGCCCCGGGTGCGAGCCATCCCTCCGGCTTGCAACCAGCCAGCATAGCAAACCGGCCTGCCCTGGAGCTCCCCCCCCAACCCACAAAGCTTAAGAGAGGTGGAGCCTAGCCAGGGCGATCCCAAAGGCAGTCCTCATTTCCCACACTGGGCCGCAAAACCCAGGGGCTGGGCCTGACAGACTCCTCCACCCCCAACAGGAAAGGTGCCATATGGCACCATATCCACTTTTTTCCTTTTCCCGCACTAACCTGCCACTGCCACAACCAAGCCTCTACTTAGGACTTTGCACCCACCAGACAGCCCAAAGCTGCCTGCAGCCCTTGCCACAGATCCCCCAGGAATAAATCATGTTTATATAATGAGTATGTTATAATGCTATATGCTATAATGTATGTTATAATGTGTGTAAATTGTGATTTTAATGTACAGTTTAGATTGTTTTAGAGGCAGAGGTCATTTTGGGGGGGAACGCGGGGGAACGCAGTTCCCCCGGGTGAGGTATGGGGGGCGGGGCACATGACGAAGCACCGCCCCCTGCTTCCGGCCGCCCCGCTTCCGGCCCTCATTCAGCCAGGAGGAGGCAGGAGAAAAAAAAGGACCCCCCGCCGGCCTTGCAGGTCCACCGCCAGGCAGTGGAGCTGCAAGGCTGGCACCGGCGGCCGGGACCGTTGGGGGCGGGGTGTGTGCCCTTAGGACACATTTCCGGTGATGTCAGGAGGTGTGGCCTTATGACACACTTCCGGTGATGTCAGGAGGTGTGGCCTTATGACACACTTCCGGTGATGTCAGGGGGTGTGGCATATGCTAATCAGTTATGCTAATGAGTTCCCCTAGCTCTTTTTCTACGAAATGACCCCTGTTTAGAGGTATTGTTTTATCGTTTTATTGCTGTGAGCCGCCCTGAGCTGGGAGGGCGGGATAAAAGTTAAATAAATAAATAAATAAATAAATTCCCCTTCTCAGAGAAATGCACTCCATCTCCCCTGTACAACTCCGTCAACTTGGCCCATATTCCAGGATGAGGCAAAAATTGACCCAATCTGCCAGCCAGCACATTCTTCAGCTCCCGGTTGACCTTCCAGTGACCCCTCTCCAGACATATGGGATCCCCCATGCTGCGCCACACCTGGCAGGGCAGTATAGCACGCCACACTATCTACACCCAAGGCCACCTGCTCCATATGAGCCCCTGGTCAGCCTTTACCTGAATCACCAGGGCCTTCCCTTTCATGAGGCCTAAATCGTCCCATCCCCCCCAGTGGATCAACACAATACGAGGACAGTGTGAAAGAATACGGGGAATACTTATTAAATTTGCGGGTAATACTAAACTGGGAGGAGTAGCAAATACAGTAGAAGACAGAATCAGGATACAGGATGATCTTGACAATCTGGAAAATGACTAAAACAAATAAAATGAATTTTAACAAGGATAAATGTAAAGCTGCATTTAGGTAGGAAAAATCAAATGCATAATTACAGGATGGGGGAGACTTGTCTTGGCACTAGTATGTGTGAAAAGGATCTAGGGATCTTAGTAGACCATACACTGAACATGACTCATCAGTGTGATGTGGTAGCTAAAAAGGCAAATGGGATTTTGGCCTGTATTAACAGAGGTATAGTGTTCAGATCACACAGAGATGATATTGTTTTACTTTGCTCTGGTTAGACCTCATCTAGTGTACTGTGTTCAGTTTTGGGCACCACAATTTAAGAAGGATATAGACAAGCTGGAACGTGTCCAGAGGAGGGCAACAAAGATGGTGAGGGGTCTGGAGACCAAGTCCTATGAGGAAAGGTTGAAGGAGCTGGGCATGTTTAGCCTGGAGAGGAAACGACTGAGAGGTGATATGACAACTATCTTCGAGTACTTGAAAGGCTGTCAGATAGATGATGGTACAGAGTTGTTTTCTGTTGCCCCAGAAGGTCAGACCAGAACCAACAGGTTGAAATTAAAAGAGTTTTCAGCTAAACATTAGGAACAACTTCTTGACAG